GACTAACTCGATGATAATGCATATATGCATAAATATAAGCCAAATGGGAGAGTACATTGCTACAATGTAATAAAAAGATACATGCGTAATATAACCTCGTTTTTCATATAGCAAATATTGCAAACATCCGTGCTTTTGTGGTGATGTGGGTGATGTGTGTACCCATTGGGGCTAATTTATCCATTTACATTCTGCCTGCCCTTCACGCATGATGGTTAATCTGCTGCTAATTTATGTTGTGCAATGCACAGATACCCCTTCACAACGCACACAACATAAATGTTTGCCTGGCAACATAACAAAGCAGCATGCCATTGCATGTGAGCAGGAGTGATTGAAATGCGGAGAATCTAAACACAAGCCTCTTACATTGCCAATGTATGTATATATTTCATTTTACATGTATATTTGAAAAAAAGTTGACCAAAAACATCATTATGTGGCTGATTTGTTAATTTAATACGAGTTTTACTTTTGTTTTTCAGAAAGTATGTGGAGAGTGTGTTCCAATCAAGGTTTTTTGCTACAGCAAGTTTTCACGTAGAAGGTGTCCGTTTTGCACAAGCAGGAAAACAAGAACTTTTTATTTCATGAAACAATTACCTAAAACTGCTATTTTTGGTATGAGTTCTTTCGAAGAACCTAAATAGTTCATCTGATTGCTATGATCTTCAGATTCCTTTATTTTGCTATGGAAGAATTATTTTTAAAGAGAATCTGTCAAACGTATTGACTTAAATATTAGGTTGAAAAACAAAACAAGTGAAAAGATATAGACCTTGCGAGTGGCTTGAATGGGTGAAGTCTCGAGTCAAGCTGGAGTTTAAAAAGTATACTATTGAGAGATGCATTCTTTATTTGCATTATGTTAAGTTTGTTTCGTCCCCCTTTTTCCTTCAAGATAAGATTTAGTATTAGGTTTAGTTTTGTTTTAAGAACTAGAAATTTGAAGAGTTTTTCGAGTTGCTATTTTTTATCATGTTTTTTTTTACGAGCGGTTGGATTCTCTTTCCTTGGGGAATATTTGATAAAGATGTTTTTTTCTGTTCTCACTGGCCTTAAGCTTTTTAACTTTTAGTATCTTTTCAGAAAATAACACATGATTAATTAGTTTAGGTCACTCAGCTTGGGGCACAAAATTTAGTGAAAAGCATTTTGTCAACATTTCAGAGTAGATCTTCATTTGTGGAAGAGTTTACTTTTCCCCAATTGCTAAGCTTAGAAACATAGACTAGAGATGCTTTTATTTCGATTTAAGTTTGCTTTACATGAAAATGAAAAAAAGAAAAACATTTTGTAAATCTCAAAGAAAGCTTTTTTAATGAGTTTAAATCAAATGGGGAATATGGCGTTTCCAATGAAATGTTTTTGATGGGTGACACATAAAGGGCAGCATTAGCAGAGGGCAAACGATTTTTTTTTATTATCATGAACCATGTCTTGAAACTCAAGTCATTCATTGGGAATTAATGAAATACAGTGGTTACATTATACATGCTTTAAGTATGGCAGCTGATGATTTGGTTAAATGTATACAATTGTGAATTGAACAATGTAGAATTTAATTTGAAAATCAGTGGATTTGTCATGAGAAGACGTTTCTGATCAGTACCAAAGATGTGCAAACCAATTCCCTGTCGATGATATGTGTTTCTTGATGCATTACATGTTCTTTTTTTGTTGTTTATTTGGCCGGACCATGTTTCTTCTACTTTTTTTCGTGATATATACGCATGTTCAAAGAACTATAGATTTATTTCACTACAGATGGTGACAAAAACCCCTTTGAAGCTATGAAATTAAGTTTCATTCTCCACAAAAGGTATTTAAAAAAAGCATTACTTTTACAATAAATCACACACCATGATGTATGTCGTTTGTTCCAATTAAATCTTTAAATTGACTTCATCTACAATTGAGTCGGCAGCGCTTGCAATTTATCTACCTCAGGTTGTGGTGTTATGCCAGCTGCTTGCCTGACTGCGACAATCAGATTACAAATTTAAGAGGCGTCCCTTTAATTATGAGAAATCAGGAATTTCATAGCTCCAAATTGTCATTGAGGAAACATTTTAACGTAAAAAAGAATGTTGATTTGTTGATACATTTTTGTTGTTAGTCACTGTTTTTAAATGAGTGGTTGAATGGTTTGATGTTATGTCTTGGTTGATTGTTGTGAGCAACAAAAGCGCTTGATGCATGGTGCTGTAAGGTCGACAAGTGTGAGATTGTTGTAAGATTGGACGTGGAATGGTGCAGAATTGAAATAATTGGCAATGCTGTAAAAATGTATGTAAATTATACACAATTAACTTCCAACCTCTGCAGCAAAATCCCAGTTGTTTGTTTGTGGCATTGTGTAGAGTCTAAATGTTTGGCTTGCTAAAGTTTCTTTAAAAGTTTTTGCAGCTGTAATCATCACACGAATGTTGTACTTCATCTTTATTATTTGCATTAAATGAAGTGTATTGTGTTTTTTTTATTTTGTAGAAAGTTACTTATATAGCGCCTTGGACTAATTTAAATGTTTGAATAAAAACAACGCTGCGTAAGCTTTTAATTAAACTCTACCAAGCCCGTTAAAAAACGCGACTGCAGTGAAAAAAAACATCATTTACAGTCTACAGCCGTAAAAAAAATTCTGTACATAAAAAAATCAGTTCCATCTCATTTTACAGCCATTTACTAAGTTAAGTAAGTTTTTATTTATAAAGAGGAGACCTTTTTGTACAGATGCTCATAGAGATGTCTATATGAACAACAGAGAGATTTTTATTTTTGCTGTTCCTGTGCCACAACCTTGCCAGGGAAAGGGTTATTTGTTTTAGGTTTTCTTTTACTCCCCATCAGATAGCTGTCGGTTTTTATTTCGATTTTATGGTAGGTAGCTGTAGTGCACGCTTCTGTAGAATTCTGCAAACTGTCTTCAACTCTGTTGTCAGCCCTTGACAATTGTTTTAAATAAAAATGTTGCAATAAACGTTTCAGGGTTGCTCTTTTTACTCTATGAATGTAATTGTTTTCCCACGTGAAGCAATGTACTTTATTTTTGTTCCTGCTTGAATTTCAGTTCAACATTTTCAGTGTAATACTGTCATCATTCCGGAGTTAAATTTATATTCACGTAAAAATTTCAATAGTTTTAAATTGTAGAACAATTTAAATTGTAGAACAATTTAAATCGTAGCACCAATTGATGTGTGTGGCAATATTATCAGTGCATTTTACGAAATGAATGTTTCGTTGTTTAGAACGCATCGCCTCGGTGTCTCATGATTAACACTTGAAAATTGTGTAAAAAGTGTGATCGATGTGTGTACAGTGTTTGATGGCACGTCATGAATTTTCTGGCAAAAAGCATAGCACAAATTCAATTTCCTATGACAATATCTTCTTTCGATTATTATCACTGGTTATTACCCACTCACAGTTGGGCAAAGACTTCCGCATTTGGCACGACAGTATTGCCTATTGTCCGTTAGAAATTCCATTACCATTTCTACTTTTGTCCTGATTTTATCAGCTGCATCTTAACTCACACCGGGTTTTTTTTTCCCCCAAGGCCTGTGATGTTTCTAATTCAGATTTATTATTTACCCGATTCTCTCTCTTGTATGGAATCTGAACTTGGTGACCCACGTTCAATTACCGGTCATGAGTAACATCAGTGGCATAGAGAGGCCTTCATTGGTGGCGCCATGGTGGCGAGATGTTAACTACCTCGCCTGGTATATAGGTTGTGGGTTCGGTCCCGACGCCTGTATATTTGAAGTTTGCATGTCTCTCTCCCCGTAGTTGCGTCGATTTTTCTCCAGATCCTCCAGTTTTTTGCTCCACATTTAGAATGTGGAGCAAAAAACTGGCTGCTATAAATGTCCACATGATAAACGACTTAATTGGGCTGTCATTTGTGGCCAGGTCGCTTCTGAAAAAGAGTTATATAGCTCAGTGGGCCTTACCTGGTAAAATCAAAATTGTTTTGTTTTAGTTTCATCCATTGGTTTACAGGGAATACAATATATGGTTGCCTTTAAATATACACACACACTTGGTTGTCATAGAATAAAGAGCATTTGGATGAGGATTTTATTAGTAAGCCAATTTAAGAAACCATATAATAAAACAGAAAACAAGTGAACTCTACAATTAACAATTTTTTTTATATTTTTAATAAACATTGTAAAATTGACATGTTGAGTTTCGGTGGGGAGATTGGAGATGAAAATTAAATCTCATCCGTATTTGGTCATTGCTTCTATATCTCCACCTCATAACAGCCTCAGGGTAATCTCCACATACAGGCTAACTTGTTTGATTAATTACAATGGATGCCCCACTCTTTAGCTAAAGGCCCTTTTTCTGTACTGTAATTACAAGTCATTACAGCATTTAAAAGCCTTTGTGTAATTAATTACAGCAAAAGTACATTACATGTCACCAGCAATTCGTGCATTTAAATAGACTAAATTATTGCTGTACTGCACCAAAAATGATATAGAAAATACATAGCAAATTAAAACAGGTGTTACAGTTTCAAATTTGTATAGATAACACTTTTAATGCAAGTGATATTTCGCTATACATCACTGTATTCCAAAAGAAACACAGTACATAAACTATACTTATCAGCATCATATGCTAATTGTTTCTTTGAAAATGTCAAGATTCATCGGCACAACTGGACGAAGCAAAAGCTCCCTAAAGATGTTAGCTCTATTAACCATGTCCAGCCAAGAAGAAGTGCTTGAATTCCTTTTGTCAGAATATACTATATACCACAGTAATAACAAGGGGAAACGGTGAGTTAGCATAACATGCGGCAGCATTAACATTTACAATGTAATTATTATATGCAACTTTGCCAGATAATATTGTGCATATTACGTGGAAATAAAGTTTAAATTCCACAGCAAATAAATGAAATAGAATATAGTTTGGTTAGTTATGTTTTTGCATGTCACATTCTTTTCACAAGTGCTAAAATACTAAATGCTGTGGTGTTAGCCATCATCTTGTAGCCAGGCAGCTGTTTCTTCCAGCAAGTTTTCCATCTCCTCATATTCATTGGATAAACTAGAATGCTGCATTTCTACAGAGTCGTCTGAATGGATTGTTTTAGCTTTCACAAGCTCCTCTGGACTGTCCTCTACATTTTGAAAGCTCTCTTCATGAAATAAACTTTGATTCAGACGACTCTCTTCTTCATTACAAGAGTTTAAATTTTTTGTATCCGATATATTTGTGTGTAAGGCTGCAAGCATATCAGCAAAATACAGATAATCTTAATAACGTAATAATGTTTATATAGCTAATTTAAGACTTCGAATTTAGTGAAATGTCAGCACGTCACTGAACAGGTATTCTTCATTAGGTTATCTCAAATGTGCATGCATTCTACATAATAAAGTACCAGTAATACATTTTACAGGAATTGATATGCAAAAAAAATGTAGTACTTGACTCACATTTATTTTTGTTGATCATATTTTCATTCAATACATCCACCTCCATGAGCAAGTGATGTGTTTCTTGCAACATTTCTTCACCTATGCCGTTATAACCTTTTGGTTAAAATCGTAAAAAAACACAACAGTTAATTCATTACATTCAAGTGACAGTTTGCAGCAAAAAAAGTAGACCATGAATTCAATCCTGGTACACACTCATGAATATACGGTATGTGCAAAGACATCCATTGCTTATATGACATAGCAAAACCTGTCAAAGCTGGACTCGAGTAAATTGGAACTCAGAGCAAGCTAGGAATACCCAAAACAAATATTAAAAGCTTCAGCCAAAAAAAATCCAACCCGAACACTGTTCCTTCGCATATTAAACGAGATCCAGTAGGAAACGGATGCCATGTACTGTTGTTAGTGCTCTTACCCTAATTTTTTGTTACATTAATTTGACAAAAAAAAGAATACAGTACATTATTTCAGCCTGTCAAAAGAGTGCATAAGCCTTCCACATTCAGTGAACCTCACTCAGCCTACACCTGCTGTTTCAGTGATTGTGGCAAGGATGAAATCCTTTTTTTATGATATTTTAAGTATTATATTCATTAGGTGTTTATTACATTGACATCTAATTGTACTATTATTGTAGTATTTGCTCATTAATAGTTTTCAGTTACCAGAATCAAGGCAATTAGTCCAGCTTCGAGAGGTGTTCCTGTATTTTTTGTCTTATAATTTCCATTAGCATGCCTTTGCATTCCCAGCCTTCCTTACCTGTAAAGTGACAGAAATGTAGTCTTTCTTCACAGGATATTGATATCATTTCATTCGCTTCTTTTAGTGCTGTATTCAGCCAACCCCTGTTTCTGGCTTGAGAGGGTACATTCTGAAAGATGGCAGTGTTTAGATAAAGTAGAGTACACATTTAGCAAAAATGGAATTCAGGGATCTCACTCAGTGTGTGCTTGCATACCTCTAGTTGAGAAAATGGTTCCATTTGTTGTACGTTAATCCATTTTCTAGTCCGTGGTTGACCAAGGTATTCCACATGATAGCTGACGTAATTTTTTTTTTGGTTCATATCCTTGCCATTGTCTGGGTCTGGACACACAACAGCTGGCCATCTGTAATATAACATTGGATAATTAACATCAATTCATAATCATTAGTTCCTAGCACATTCTGGGACTGTGCATTTTTCTTAACCTTCATAAAATGTTAAACATCTGATAAAGACGTTTTTAAATAAAATACATGTTTCCACAATCGGAAAATCATTATTAATCCAATAATGGATGACGGCCTCCTCAAGCCATCACCGTCTCTCAGTCTTGTGATGTCATAATACATCTATCAACTGCACATAAACTAATTTATTCACTCCGTCTCCTTGGTGAAAGTCCTCTTATGCTGCCACTGTCATTCGTCTCAACCACTGGCCGTGAGCCCTTCGAACAACGTGTCCTACCCAAACCCACATACTTTTTCCCGAAGGTCAAAATTACGTCTTTCACTTGCACGCTCCCTAATTCACGTTTTCTGTATATACATTAAATCCAATGCATGCATCTTTGTTTACTTTTCATTCCCATAACACATTTTAACATTTACAAAGGTTTTTTTCCCAATAATATACAAAATTTACAACAGCATTTGGAATTAATACGTTCGCAGTTTTATGTTATTAAATGGTTTAACAATACGCATATTTATTTCCTAATAAGCAGTGTTACTACTCTTGCATAAAATATTATCTACATATTTCAGCACTGAAAATTACAATACAGTTATATTGAAAACCGAAATCATGTGATGCTATATTAATTTAAAAAAAGAAAGTGAGAAATAGCATGTAATAATGTCGCCCAACAACAAAAGTTTGAATAACCAATAACTGAAAATACATATTTTAAAACATACAAAGAAATGTGACGTACTGTCTTGTTGCCAATGATCTCCTGAAACTCTCTCATGACTAGCAGACCTCGACATTGGCATTTAGCTCCTGAACATATTGCAATACGCAAGAAAATAACCACTGATAACCCTTACCGAGGATAGCCTATCATTTTCGCCCACACGAGGCTGCCTGTTTGGTAATTATGAGAAAACACCACTTCCAGGCCGTCGCGGCTGAGCTCCTCACTGCTGGGGTACGGTTCCTCAGGGTGCTCACAAGAACTGTGGGAAACGTCGCCGTTCATGTGGCAATACCATGGCAGCTCGACCGCAAGGGACGCCATCTCCTTGACTGAGATGGACCGCCACTTCTGACATTCCAAGTGCTCACACTGCACCCAGGCCAAGTTCTCCTCTTTCTCTTGGTCGCCTAGCCTCTTGCTTCTCCTTGAGGGGTTGTACTGCAGTGACAAATGTGACACACACTACCACGATTGGTTTGCCACCTGTTCCTACTCTTTTTCAGGTAGTAGCTGTCCTGAGTAATCTGTAAACCCTCCCGGATTGAATTTCGATTTAAAGCTTTTGTGAGTGCAGGGATTCATATTCTTGGTTCTTTCGGTAAACTTATTTTTATTATTTTATTATTTCACTTCTACGTGACTTTACCGAAAGAACCAAGAATACCCTCCCGGATTATAAAAGAATTAAGTCCCAGTTTTTTTTGTAAATTACACGTAGTTCTCTCTTCCGGTATTATAAGAGAATATTTTCATATGTCCCGGTTTTTTGTACCTCAAGAGGTGGGCAACCCTAGACCACGGCTTTGTGAGCACAAGGCACTGATAGAAGATGCTATATCTCATCATTGCAGGTGGATTATTATAAACATGTTAATGACGAGCAGTAATTCACAGGTGGCCCGACAATGACCTGACAATTCCCTAGGGGCCACCAGTGAGGTATTGCAATCTTGTAAACAGATGGAGTGGTGAGTGCACAATTGTGAAGTCGTTTTTTATATTCGGTTTTTTTTTGCTTTATTTTTATGTTAATTATGCTGTCGGTGGGTTCATATGGAATTAATGTACATGTAGATCGAACCTTAAGAATAAATGCAGCAACACATTTCAATATAGGCATGCAATATGAACATTTAAATTATATTGAGGCGAATTAAGAAAATACTAAAGCACTATAGGAATTACAGGTTTCCCTCGATTTACGAACGTTCGGTTTACGAAATTTCACGTTAACGCAATTAACAAATAATGGACGCTTTTCGATTAACGAAATCGAATTTCCGCGTGAACGAAATTGCACATGGCACGCACCACGAGATTATCATCAAACAAGAAGCACCCAGGGAGGCTGCGTCAACCATCCGCGACATTGCCACGGGATTCCTATAATGCAACAGCAAATGCCTCCACATCACTTTTTTCAATAATTCCAACACGCAGATCGTTGGTGAGTTCCCTGAAAAGGTTAATTATTTTTTTTGCTTGAAATAAATAATCACTCCATCGCTTACTGTTCATATTCCTTACGTATGTTTTTCTGTATTGTGAAAAGTGATACAGGTGTAAATGTTTAGAATAAGGGTAGAGTTTAAATGACTGTCCGAAACACATCCGTAACGTTTTAGCATTAAATGAATGCGAAAAGCCATTCCGATTTACGACATTTCGTCATACTGTATACGTGGGATACCTATAGTTATGTTTCCATCTATTATTGCAAACAGTCAAATGTAGCATTCCTCCAAGGATACAGTGAGGGAAAAAAGACAAATCAGACGAACCATGCTATTAAAAGGCTTAAACACTGAATGTTTGTGGTAATGCATTGTGGCAGCATGGACGGTGGTGGCGCAGTGGTTAGGCATACTGTGCTATTAACAAACCCGGTGGTCGAGCTCCATTCCCAACAATGGCTAATTCGGTTAAATGGTTTGAAACGGTCCTGAGCTCCCACCAATTCACGTTGACCAGGGTGGTGAAACGATCCCCAAGACCAACACGGTGTGAGGAAGGCCTACATCTACAGTGAGGGAAAAAAAGTATTTGATCACCTGCTGATTTTGTACGTTTGCCCACTGACAAAGAAATGATCAGTCTATAATTTTAATGGTAGGTTTATTTGAACAGTGAGAGACAGAATAACAACAACAAAATCCAGAAAAACGCATGTCAAAAATGTTATAAATTGATTTGCATTTTAATGAGGGAAATAAGTATTTGACCCCCTCTCAATCAGAAATATTTCTGGCTCCCAGGTGTCTTTTATACAGGTAACGAGCTGAGATTAGGAGCACACTCTTAAAGGGAGTGCTCCTAATCTCAGCTTGTTACCTGTATAAAAGACACCTGTCCACAGAGGCAATCAATCAATCAGATTCCAAACTCTCCACCATGGCCAAGACCAAAGAGCTCTCCAAGGATTCATCTTCTTGGTTCTTTCGGTAAAGTCACGTAGAATGGAAACAAAGTAATAAAAATAAAACAAAATAAAATTCTCACGACGTTTCGGCCACAACACAAGTAGCCTTCTTCAGGTGAAGGAACAGAACTGTCGGGACGAGAGCGCTTCAATGAACGCTGCTACGTGACCTTACCGAAAGAACCAAGAAGATGAATCCCTGCAGTCACGAAAGCTTTAAATCGAAATATAACTCTCGAAGGATGTCAGGGACAAGATTGTAGACCTACACAAGGCTGGAATGGGCTACATGACCATTGCCAAGCAGCTTGGTGAGAAAGTGACAACAGTTGGTGTGATTATTCGCAAATGGAAGAAACACAAAAGAACTGTCAATCTCCCTCGGCCTGGGGCTCCATGCAAGATCTCACCTCGTGGAGTTGCAATGATCATGAGAACGGTGAGGAATCAGCCCAGAACTACACGGGAGGATCTTGTCAATTATCTCAAGGCAGCTGGGACCATAGTCACCAAGAAAACAATTGGTAACACACTACGCCGTGAAGGACTGAAATCCTGCAGCGCCCGCAAGGTCCCCCTGCTCAAGAAAGCACATATACATGCCCGTCTGAAGTTTGCCAATGAACATCTGAATGATTCAGAGGACAACTGGGTGAAAGTGTTGTGGTCAGATGAGACCAAAATGGAGCTCTTTGGCATCAACTCAACTCGCCGTGTTTGGAGGAGGAGGAATGCTAACTATGACCCCAAGAACACCATCCCCACCGTCAAACATGGAGGTGGAAACATTATGCTTTGGGGGTGTTTTTCTGCTAAGGGGACAGGACAACTTCACCGCATCAAAGGGACGATGGACGGGGCCATGTACCGTCAAATCTTGGGTAAGAACCTCCTTCCCTCAGCCAGGGCATTGACAATGGGTCGTGGGTGGGTATTCCAGCATGACAATGACCCAAAACACACGGCCAAGGCAACAAAAGAGTGGCTCAAGAAGAAGCACATTAAGGTCCTGGAGTGGCCTAGCCAGTCTCCAGACCTTAATCCCATAGAAAATCTGTGGAGGGAGCTGAAGGTTCGAGTTGCCAAACGTCAGCCTCGAAACCTTAGTGACTTGGAGAAGATCTGCAAAGAAGAATGGGACAAAATCCCTCTTGAGATGTGTGCAAACCTGGTGGCCAACTACAAGAAACGTCTGACCTCTGTGATTGCCAACAAGGGTTTTGCCACCAAGATGGGTCAAATACTTATTTCCCTCATTAAAATGCAAATCAATTTATAACATTTTTGACATGCGATTTTCTGGATTTTTTTGTTGTTATTCTGTCTCTCACTGTTCAAATAATCCTACCATTAAAATTATAGACTGATCATTTCTTTGTCAGTGGGCAAACGTACAAAATCAGCAGGGGATCAAATACTTTTTTCCCTCACTGTATATGGTAACGTTCAGTACTGTACAATACTTTTTGTCAATCCACTGCTGGATAAGAACCTTCCACCCCGTCGGCTTATTTTTTTTTGGGCCCGTAACTTCACCACACCGGTCACTGAAGGCGAGGAGAAAGCACGAGACGTGACATTGAAGTGATGTGCAAATAGATTTTGCTCTCCATAATAGAGGTTATTTGGTTTAGATCGCGTAAATATATAAATGTGTCGTTAAAACCCGCCACCACCCGACACAGCCAAGAACATGCCAATTCAGTACGGCACACCGTTGTGTTGGAGAGCCAAGCCACAAACATTTACCATCCGAGTACGGCGAGATTTTGCTCTACTGCTGTACTGCCCTCTGCTGGCCACCGTGTAACCTTTTTTAGACAAACCCATCCCGAGAACTGTCCAGGCACTAGGCTGCTTCGCGTCACGAGTTCTAACGGGCAGATTCCGGGCGATTAAGTAAGGGTACAGCGTCTTAATATAACAATCTTGTATGTATACACGTTTTATTAACATCGGAAATTACCCCCCCCCCCGCCGCCCCACACACAGAGGCCATTAAATGGCTTAATAACCTCGATATACTGTACAAGTATATTCGTATAATGTTGCACATTTCATCTTGCCATACTAAATAATAAGGTAAGGATGCTGTGTTAGTGTGTATTTTGGCAGTGGCAATTACATTTGTAATGCATAATTATGATACCATCAGGCGTATTTGCAATTATAATTCGGGCTTTTGGAGCTATTACGTCACCTTCCGTTTGGCTGTGGCCATTGCCGAGACGTCGTGAACCTCGCGCAGCACTCGCGCCTCTCACCCTGCACGTGACCCTCTCACCCTGCACGTGACCCTCTCACCCTGCACGTGACCCTCACCCTGCACGTGACGAACCCTCTCACCCTGCAAGTGACCCTCACCCTGCACGTGACTCTCACCCTGCACGTGACACTAACCCTCTCACCCTGCACGTGACTAACCCTCCCACCCTGCACGTGACTAACCCTCCCACCCTGCACGTGACTAACCCTCTCACCCTGCACGTGACTAACCCTCTCACCCTGCACGTGACTAACACTCCCACCCTGCACGAAACTCTCACTCTGCTTCGCTACAAGGTGTGATGATGGTGATGATGGGCCGGTGGTCGAGACTAACGACGGAGGGGCAGCCAAATGAGGGAACACGCCCGCGAGGATCGCGATAACCGCGGAGACAAAGCAAATAGATCAGCTCATGTGCAGGGACGAGATGGATTGTGGCTTTTGGAAAGGCGTTCATACTCATTATAACCTTACATTGTGTATTATAATAATGATTGCCTTAAAGTGGGTTAAAATCAACAAGTTTCAGATGTTCTTTTAATTTAACCTTGCTATAAATTAAGTCAGTTAAATCGATTGGTATATAGAAGTTTGTCCGACATGCAGCTTAGCTTATTTTATGAGTTCACATTCACACTGCCATGTTACTTGTACAGTAAAACAAACAGTATTGTGCTTTCCGTCCCGTTGTTGCATTCTTTTCGCACGGGAAACCGCATGGCAATGACTCTACTGTGGTACAACAAATGGTCAACTTGGGAAGTGAAACTGGAACATAATCAGAATAGATTTTACCCTTTCTGGCAATAAAACAGGCGTTAAGATGTTCAAACACCAAATAGAAATCTAAAAAATTACATTTTGTAGCTGCTCACCCCAACCGATAAATGCTTTGATAGTGCATTGTCGTTGTGCTGTTCGCCTTTTGGCGTTCTCTGGTCTGACACTGGTGAGATAAGACCATAAAGAAGGCTGTCTCTGGTGTAGACCAATCACTTTCAAAGACACTGCCATATATTAAATATCAGAGCATGTTTTTCAATGTTCACCATAAGTACGTGTGGTTAATGCAGACATGATTTCTTGCAAAATGTTTCTATTTGGTGTTTGAATATCTTAACACATGTTTCATTGACATAAAGGATAAACCCTATTCTTATGTTTTCATAATATAATGCAAACTTTATTCCTTGCGAAAGGTTTCCATGCCTGTCAAGCCTTTATCAGTGCCTACCTTATTACACACCAATTCGGACCTTATTGGTCACCCTGTTGCCTTATAGATCTCAAAGTTAATCCTACAAAGTCCCATCACAAGGGAGAAACACAAATAAATAGACATAATAATAATGTGCCCATATTTAAACGGCTATACGCCGTATGGACCTGAAAAACTCAATTTCCCTGTACAAGAATACGGCTAAACCGGATGGGTTGACAGGTATGGGTTTCTATTTGGTGTCTGAACATATTAACACCTGCTGTTTCATTGCCATTAAGGGTAAAACCTATTATTATTTTAATATCTGGAAATTGCATTCTTACACGTTGTGCATTTCCCACAATTTAGTCAATTGTAAGCGAGGCAAATGTACAGCAGGGGGAGCCACCACGCAACGTTTATTTGTTTTATTCCTTTTGGGAATAAAAACAAATGAGACTAAAGTACCAGTGTCTAGCAGGTTTCGTGAGTTCTCTCTAACCTGGTTAAACTAATTCAGCTGACTAGCAAGGGACCGATAGTGAAGAATACGAAATTAGTTGTAGCCAAGGAATGGAGAGTGGGGCCACATAGGAGATGGAGCGACGAAAATGATCACCCAGAGGTATTTTTTTTGTTAGATCGCGTAAAAGATAAATGTGTCGTTAAACCCGCCACCACCCGACACAGCCAATTAGTAAGGTTTGTCACGTAAACAGAAAATTGGCTCATCTTCTTGGTTCTTTCGGTAAAGTCACGTAGAACGCAAATAATAAATTAAAACAGATTTTATTTTTTTTGTATTTTATTATGTTTTATTTTTATTATTGCATTATTTCCCTTCTACGTGACTTTACCGAAAGAACCAAGAAGATGAATCCCTGCAGTCACGAAAGCTTTTAATCGAAAGAAAATTGGCTGTCGGGTGGTGGCTGGTTTAACGACGATTTTATATTTACGCGATCTAACCCAAAACACCTCTATTATGGATATTGGTCCCGAAATCCTACGTTTTCAACTGATTATTGTACATCGCAACATCGCGAGGAGGCGGTGACGGCGTGGGGAGGTGTCTTCATCCAGCAGTCGATTGACCGTGAATGATGATGGACTCATCGGTATACCAGTCTATGGATTATACCTGACATCAAGTGAATGACGGTATTCGTTGTATTCGAAGGACACGTGACAGAACGATGCGCACACCTTCATAAACCGAAAACGAAAGACAAAAAAGTCACAGGCAGTGAGATTGCGGCCATGTAACCCCAAAGCTACGGACCGTATAGTAAAACCACTGTAGTCTGCACTACCGCGACGGAGAAGGAATATATTTTAAAAAACTCCACGAACTCTCTCGGGAAGCCGTCTTTTCGGCGAGCAAAAAGGACCTCTCGACATTGGCGTTTAGCTTCTGAACAAATTGCTGCTGCCATAGGCGCAAGCACAGAATAGAACAGTGACATCAAACACACCCGCTGTGAATGCCGTCACAGTCCGCATAAACTTGTTCATGTGAAATCGAACGTGGCCGAGCGTTTCGAATTGTGTTTGTGCCAATGTGTGCGTGTTGCAAGTTCGCACGTTTTCGGGGCTGGCGGTATTTTTATTATTTTAAGGCCACGGGAAAATCCCAGCAGTGACGAACTTGGGGCTGACGCTGACGGCAGCACCGTACTCACTGTGCTAAAGGCGCACGTGAAAAAAGAATAGCCCACAACCACAACGTGGCCGATTTCTCGGCGACGAGGACTTTTTTTTTGATACTCTAAAAATCGCTACGGCGTGGACAAACACGTATAAGGTCATGGCTGATGATTGTCAAAATGTACTCACGTCACTATGCGTGCTATTGTAATATATAAGGTGAGCGAGACTTCACTGCCATCGCATACCTGTCAACCCCTTCCTTACCAGGGCCTACCTTATCACAGACCAATTCAGACCTTATTGGTCACCCCGTGGCCTTATAAACGTCAACGTGCATCCGACAGAATCCCATCACAAGGGAGAAACACAATAAACAAATAAATGCCCTATTGAAACGGCTGTACGCCGTATGGACCCGAAAGCTAAATTTCCATGTACAAAGCTACGGGCTAACCGTGTGGGTCAGCCACGAAAAACGCCCATCATGCATTCAGTGAAAACCATGTAAGGCGGTTTGGGATTAGTTTGATTTTCACTCTCTCTGCGCTGCAAATTTCGTCTGTTATTAGTAACATCAGCCATGATCGATCCGTGGCTGGATGAAGGCCTCCCAACCCCGTAGCCATCCAAAGACATCTAAACCTCGTGATGCATCTGCACACAAGATAATGCCATCGTTCCGTCTCCATGGTGCACGTGCTCTCTGGCTCGTCCACCACCATCGGCTGTCACTCGACTATTATTTATTCTTGACCATAGGCCATCATCTCTTTCTAGCAAGGTGTCCTGCCCAAGCCCACATGCTGTTCTTAATGTGTCTTTAATGTGTGTATGCATATTACAGTGAGGGAAAAAAGTATTTTATCCCCTGCTGATTTTGTACGTTTGCCCACTGACAAAGAAATGATCAGTCTATAATTTTAATGGTAGGTTTATTTGGACAGTGAGAGACAATAACAACAACAAAATCCAGAGAAACGCATGTCAAAAATGTTATAAATTGATTTGCATTTTAATGAGGGAAATAAGCATTTGACCCCCTCTCAATCAGAAAGATTTCTGGATCCCAGGTGTCATAAAAGCACCTGTCCACAGAAGCAATCAATCAGATTCCAAACTCTCCACCATGGCCAAGACCAAAGAGCTCTCCAAGGATGTTAGGGACAAGATTGTAGACCTACACAAGTCTGGAATGGGCTACAAGTTCATTGCCAAGCAGCTTGGTGAGAAGGTGACAACAGTTGGTGCGATTATTCACAAATGGGGTTCCATGCAAGATCTCACCTCGTGGAGTTGCAATGATCATGAGAACGGTGAGGAATCAGCCCAGAACTACACGGGAAGATCTTGTCAATGATCTCAAGGCAGCTGGGACCATAGTCACCAAGAAAACAATTGGTAACACACTACGCCGTGAAAGACTGAAACCCTGCAGCACCCGCAAGGTCCCCCTGCTCAAGAAAGCACATATACATGCCCGTCTGAAGTTTGCCAATGAACATCTGAATGATTCAGAGGACAACTGGGTGAAAGTATTGTGGTCAGATGAGACCAAAATGGAGCTCTTTGGCATCAACTCAACTCGCCGTGTTTGGAGGAAGAGGAGGAATGCTGCCTATGACCCCAAGAACACCATCCCCACCGTCAAACATGGAGGTGGAAACATTATGCTTTGGGGGTGTTTTTTTCTGCTAAGGGGACAGGACAACTTCACCGCATCAAAGGGACAATGGACGGGGCCATGTACCGTCAAATCTTGGGTGAGAACCTCCTTCCCCCAGCCAGGGCATTGAAAATGGATCGTGGATGGGTATTCCAGCATGACAATGACCCAAAACACACGGCCAAGGCAACAAAGAAGTGGCTCAAGAAGAAGCACATTAAGGTCCTGGAGTGGCCTAGCCAGTCTCCAGACCTTAATCCCATAGAAAATCTGTGGAGGGAACTGAAGGTTCGAGTTGCCAAACGTCAGCCTCGAAAACTTAATGACTTGGAGAAGATCTGCAAAGAGGAGTGGGACAAAATCCCTCCTGGGATGTGTGCAAACCTGGTGGCCAGCTACAAGAAACGTCTGACCTCTGTGATTGCCAACAAGGGTTTTGCCACCAAGTACTAAGTCATGTTTTGCAGAGGGGTCAAATACTTATTTCCCTCATTAAAATGCAAATCAATTTATACAAATTTTGATATGCATTTTTCTGGATTTTTTTGTTGTTATTCTGTCTCTCACTGTTGAAATACACCTACCATTAAAATTATAGACTGATCATTTCTTTGTCAGTGGGCAAACGTACAAAATCAGCAGGGGATCAAATACTTTTTTCCCTCACTGTATGTTATATGATCCATATCTTCCTCTTTATGTGTTAATGTATGCAATCTCTCCTTGCCTCTCAACGCACTTTTCAATTTCTGTTCCATTTCGTGTAAGATGATATACAGTAACTTCATACCTGTTAACCCCATATCAGTAGACATTTTATTTTTAAACGAAATTCCCTGTACAAGAATACGGGTAAACCGTGTGGGTTGACAGGTATGACAATCTAAGAATGTCAACGGAACGGACAACATTTATTACAACCAAATGCAAATTAACGACAGGAAGCGGTAGAATAACTTTCTAAAGGAAAGGTCGCAAAGTTGGGCTCGAGATAATTGCAAGCAAAACCAACTTCACGTACAAAAAGTTAACGGAACAAGTTTTAAGTTGTTTTGTTTAACCAGGTGACCAGCATAGCCTAATCTTCAAGAGTTACCCAGGTTTACCAAAGCGGCAAAGGGAACCCCGATAAAATAAAGTACAGTAATTAAATTGAGATATAGGTTGGAATGGAGATACAACTGGAAAACAGCAGAATGGGAATATATTATTACCTCTAACAGTTATTGCAGGCAGACCAGGATGAAAATGGTACAATAATGAAGCAGACGAGAGCAGGTTTTAGTAGTTTGGAAAGAATACGAACTTCATAAAATGAAAGTACCACCATACCTGTCAACCCATACAGTTTACCCTTATTCTTGTAGAGATAAGTTTAGTTATTAGGTCCATACGGCGTACAGCCGTTTCAATGCGGGTCAAATTTTGTTTTAATTCATCCGTTTCTCCCTTGTGATGAGACTTCGTAAGGATGGACGTTTAGATATGTAAGGGCGCACGGCGGTGGGGGGTCTGAATGGGTCTGCAATAACGTAGGCAACTAATAATCGGTGGGGTTTGTTGACCAGGGTTTATATAAGACCTAACGTTACTAAACGATGCGCATCGCTGGTGTTTTCCTTGGCTTCCCGACATTGGGACGGTCGTAAGCGGTTCAGAGAGCGATGGGTGGGTGGTGGTGGGGTTGCGTTCGCTGCGCGTCGTTTCGAGAGCGTGCGGTAATCGCGTGTGGACAACGCGACCTGCTGCTGCCCGGTGAGCAGGAAGCCACGCATCCAATGCGCTTTACCGCACACGCCGTCGTTGCTGAAACACCACCTCACGTCCCCCCCCGCTTCTCCCTTTCTTTGCTCCAGTTTTCACGGCGGTAGGGGAAGGGTTATTTTTTTATTTTGCTCACAACAAAAAAACATATACGTAGTTTTTTTTGTCTTTCTTCCGTCGTTGCGCAGCTCGTAAGACGCGCGGTGGTTGTTGTTGTTGTTGTTGCAATAACGATGAACGGAGGCCGAAATTGAGCCTGGGCGATCCAGCAGCGGTCGCCGCCGCCGCCGCCGCCATCTCATCTCAATTCTCCTCTCGTGTGAGTCGCGGCCTCTCGTGGCTCGAGACTCGCTCACACCGCGGGTGACTCGGGGAGGGACGTGGAGGGAGGAGGAGGCCTGTAGGCCTAGCCGAGTTGTCTCACGGTGCTGAAGGTACAAGACGACGAACGGCTGCGGCGTTTTGCTGGCCTCTGTGCCTTTGAGTTACCCCACCGTGGTGGAGGGGGGGGTGCCCGGTGAATCCTGTTGGGGTGTAATCTATTTGCTATAACCGTTTAACAAAAACACACACACATGTTAGCGAAATGTGCCTCTCTAGTTTGGTCAGATTGTGGTGTAGATAACCTTTGGTAAAGCAAACACGAGCGACTTTAAGTCTAGAGTGGCGTAGTATGGTCAAATAACACCCACGATCTGCGGTGAGATACTCATCCAGCAGTGAATTGACACACGGGCTGGTACGTGAGCCGCTATTGCCCTGCAAATGGTTTTGTGGCCATACGCAATTTGTGGATTTACTTATTGTATAACATCTCCAAATGCCGTGCTCGTGTAGGAATTGATGCGATTAGGGGCGCTTTCCTGGAAAAGTGGAAGTGATTCGTTTGCTCAAATGAGCACTAATGTTAACAATTCTGAGCGAAGTAGTGCAAATGCCATATTCCTTAAGTCTCCAGCGGACGACCACTGTTGACTTCCCCGACAAAGTGGTCCACAGTACTTGTGTCGACCCCGGAAGAAGATGCTGGTCCGAGTCATTCACCTGTAACCAGGATTATAACTCATTCACCTGTAACCAGGATTATAACTCATGCCCTTCCAACTTGCAAGCCGCTCAGCTCGACTGCGGCACCAGCTGGCCGGATCGAAGATAAGGAAATGAGTAATGCACGGTTGTAGAATGTACACAAAAAGGTGTCGGAAAACGTTTTAAAGTGTCTTAATTCACCACCTTACGTCTGTTTTGCATAGCTTATGCCATCTTTACATCGATCTGTTTTGCAAGAAATGATGTAAGTCTGTCGCGGCAAATTACCTTTTCACTCGTACAAGTCGACTTCGGACTGCTTTGTTACGACCTTGGCTAAACAACCTGACGGACTGTTCGTACTTTGCTAATCTTAGGGATTTTTTTAATTAACAAAGTCTCTTCTGTTCATCAGAATGCTTGTAGTTGAGAGTTACTATAATACAGAATAAAGCTACTGATAACGGTGTATGGTACACATGGAGTATTCAAGGAACTTTTAACTGTGAAATAACATCTTTTAAACCCTGGAATTATTTCATGTTAATGACCTATCAATCCGTCAACACCAGTTTTACTCTATTATGTGGGTTTTCGCAATTGTGCTATATCACTGTGATGTGTTTTGGGGTTGTACTGTGTTTTTCAGCATTATGTCCGACGTTTTGCTGACAATTATATGTTTCTGCTCATGACACTTTTTTAGCCAGGTAGACTCCTGGTGTCTGCCAATGCAGTCAAGTAGTTATTTAATTAGCGTTTTAAAACTAAAAGTAAGCATTTAAATAGTTACCTGTGTTATTTTAAGATATGGCACCGTCCTGCCCACTCCACATGAGCGTTATCAATGGGAGAACTTTATTTTCTCGTAGTACCTATCATGTCCATAATTACAACGATAATATGTGTTCTGCCCAGGACACTGCTTTTCCTCATTGAGCACAAAACGTTGAGGAGGGCTTGCTTGCGAAGACGAGAGGGTCTTCACCGGCACCATCATGATAGAGAGCCAGAGCAGCTCGGACGATGACATATCCATCCTCAGCCAGACTGAGCTAGAAGGCGAGAAGATGGAAGGATCATCTGGCATGGAGCCTTTGCGCCTACCCATGCAAGTTCCAACGCCATCACAGGGACTTTCGCATAGGAATGAGTCCGAGGACAGGCTGGGCTCGCATGGCGCGCTGCTGGTGGCATACGGAGATCTCAAGACTCGCCTGCAGCAGTCCGAACGTGAGAACCAGTTCCTGAGACAGACTGTGCGCACGCAGGACATGAAGATTCGTCAGTTGGAAAATCTGCAGCAGGTACACCGCTTTACGCGTGCACGATCAAACGCATCTGTTGGATAGGCCAAGAAGGGTTACTCAAGTTTTGTTCCTCGCCCAGTGTTAAAAGCTTATTGGTAAATTGATAGATTCGGTCGTAGTGTCCTATAATTCTGTCCTTATCACTCGCCATGGTTTTTTCACGTTTATTTATAGCCATATGAATGCAGATGAAGTCATTATAAGCTGCACATGCCTGATGATTGGGAAGCATGTCCCGTATGTCCGAGAAAACGCTTCATTTAATCATCAAGAGTCTGACCATTGTGGGTTGCTCGGACTGGAATTTGGGAAACTGCATTAGACAATTTTTCATGTGTATAGCATTTTGTCTGATTTGTTGATGAGAAAAAAATTGAGATAAGGGAGGTGTGGGAACTTTATTTAAATCATGTTAAGAAAAATCTAATGCTTACCATAATTATTGGCAATGTGATATTGTTGGTATTTTTTTCATGTAATTTTATCAAGACCCATTTTTTGTTATTAGACAAATAGTTCATGATGTATCGTAGTAGCATTGTCCTGGGGAGAGCATACAAGTATGTGCCTGCGTAGATATTTTTACAAACAAGGAAATACAGTACAGTTGCAGCGTCATCATACATTGCGACATAGCCTATGCTACATTTGAACAAAAATGTATTCTGAAATTCTTGTAGGGGAAGAATGGAGTGGTATCTGGCGATGGAAAAAATGGTCACGTGAGTGAACAGTTAAACAAGGCCTACCAAGCATATCATGATAACTGTTTGGAGAAGAAAGAGATGTTTAAGAGCCTGCAGGCAAAGGTAAAGAAAGCATGCTGCATGTAGTTATTGACAGGTATTCTAACCACAATAAGTATATGTATACTTGGAATCATACCGAAATGTATATATAAAGGAACACATGGATAAGATAACATACACATTGTATGATGATGTGCAGCGCTTTATCAATCCACTCCTGTATGAAAGCCTCCCTTCGTCTTGGCAGTCACAGGGGATGTTTGGCTATGCTGCGCACTATTCCAAGTGAGTTGGTGAAGGTGGGTACTCAAGGATCGGTTCGGATACCACTCACAACTGATTTTAACCATGGTCAGGAATTGAGCTCAGGTTTCCGGGTTCATAGAACAGTGTGCGAATCACCGTGCCAGTTCTCCAAAATTAGAGACATATGCAAGTTCGAGCCATCAAATTGACTGCTAAGAACAGTAATTGGGCAGAACAATTTGCTAGAAAGGATGATAGCTGGTGCTCGGGACTAATAACAGTGGCAGCCAAAGAGGGAAGAATCCCAAGAGGACATCCACCAAAGAGATGGAGTGAAGAAATCAGCCCATGTGCAGTTGATATATGGTTTATTACATCATAAGACTTGTGGGCGATGGTAATGGCTTGGGGAAGCCTTCATGCAGTCGTGGATTGAATGGCTGGTGATGATGCAGTGCAATGGATTACCAGATATACACTTTGTACACCCACATATATGATTTGGATATCATGATTGGGAGGAGTGTAGACTGAAAATATGTACTTTGAATACAAATAAAAAATTTTAACTAGTTTTATTGTGTGGAGAATAGATCATGTTCAGATCCAGACCTTTGATACCTTAATGTTTATGGTTTCTCCATGGAAGCAAGACTCGGTCCATTTAAGACATTTAAAATATGAAATGTTTATAGCCAGATTAAATTAAACTTTCGCAAAGTATTGTTCCATGCAGTTATGAAATACTGCAATCTATTTGGTGTCAATAGTCCTAACATAACATAACAACCGCCATTCGCCACTAAGTGGCGGTGACATCACCACGACGCTTGTGCCAGGCCATGTGCACCTTGAGGCCACGTGAAGTGTCAAACGCCCGCTGGCAGGAGGTCACGGGGCAGACCCAGGTGCCACGGGTCGACTGACTGAGATGACTGACTGAGATGACTGGCTGAGATGACTGGCTGATGCACCACCTGTGCCCCCTACTGTGCCAACCTGCTGTAGTCCTAACAGTGGTGACACATACACAACATAAACCCATTCTCAACACGAGTGTAAAGGTTATAATAATGCTTTCTCAACTGGGCACAAACGATAATAGTTCGGTTGCACATTTTACAATTAGACTAGTCTGTTGTGAGCCGAAGAATAACCCTGTTTAAGCCATTTTTCGGTCATTACCAAAATTACTCTCTAAAGCTCCTCATCGGGCCTTTTCAGTTATTTCCTTAATGGCACTTAGCTAACGGTACACATACACAAATGGCACCTTGTCTCGCTGTGCTCAACATCAAGCTTACATTGTAACCCTTGAAACATGTGGTCTACAGCTGATTTTCCCAGGCACAATGTTACGTGTTAGCCATGACTGGCATGGATTTCAAAAGTACGTCTTTGATTTTGCTATGCTATTTCAAAATGTAATGCTCCGCTGATGTGAATGGTACGTGCAGTGGGCATGCAACTATGTTTTTTTTATTTTGGAAATTCTAAAATTGTCTTGCCTGTCTGCTGATTATTAAGTAGTGTACTCATCCATTCTTCAGTGAAATAACTGCACAGATATTACTAGAGCAGTGCACAATGGACTAAGTGTTTGAGCTAATATACTAACATTCATAGATTGTATGTCAGCATTTAATACTGACCTGAAAGATAAATGTTGTGGTTTCATTTAGTCTGAAGTAATGTCAAAGGTTAGCTGCAGGAATCAAGGAATTAGGCCCTGTAAACACATCCACACCAAGCAAACAGACTGTTATTTGCAAAGATTTCACTGCACTTAGTACCAGATTTGTTAAAAAATTAAGTGAAAGCAGTTTTGTCAACACTTAATGTAAAGATTTAGCTAATAGTACATATAAAACTGCCTTACATTTACTGGTTTTAAATGTTCACGTATTTATTCATACATGGACATTTTATATAAAAGTACAAATTGTGTTCTTTCAAAAATGTAAGATTTTTTTATTATTATACTGTAGCGTCAAATTGGAGTTGTCAGAGCTTGTGAATGCATCATGGTAAGCATATTCCTTTGACAGAACAATGAGGTGGATGGTCTGCAGAAAAAAGTTGAGAGCCTGGAGATGGAGGTGGAGAAGACTGTTGAGCAGCTGCAAGCTCGGGAGGTGGAGCTCCTGCAGATGGTGACAGAGAGAGAGACATTGAGAGGTGCCGAGTTGACTCACTCAACACAGAACACTCACATGTCCAGCCTTTTTGTCAATTTACTGCTGGATGAGAGCCTTCCCATGCCATACAGGTCATGTTGGGTTATTTGACCATATTTCACCATGATTGTCAGTGCAGGTTAGTACAGGCGGGGAGCATCGACATAAAAGCATAGTTCAGACAAACTATGTATTTTGGTGCACTCCCCTCAGCTGCTCACAGCCTGCTTGAAATATTCTTGTTTTTAAATTGTTGCCGCACATTGTGCATTCCTCCTTAATGTGATGTGTGTATAATATTCTTGCTGATGCCGTTTCAAATGTATGTATCCTCATACAAATTGTAACCTAATATTTTTTTTATCAATATCAAATATTATAAACAGTCATAATAGCGCACCACTATATTGGCATTACGTATGTTTTAAGTACTGTACTCAGTATGTGCTGTGTGTGTATGCATGCAGTAAGGGACCAGCTGTACAGTCCCCAAACACAGGAAAGGTCTCTTCCTTTTGCTGCATCCCCTGAGGTGGACATGCATAGAGAGGTGGTGCAACAAAGCAAAGTGTGTGAGCTAGAGAGCAAGGTCAAGGAGCTGGAGAAATCTCTTGAGGCTAGTCACAACAGAGAGTTACAACTCACGGTAAGGGACATGCCAAACACATCAGAATAACTTTTGTCCTTGTCATGTTCTTATTTCGGTTGTCTTGTAACAATACAGCAATAATGTTTGGTAGCCGTTTTTTTAGCATCCTTGTGCACATTGAATATGTATATAATCACAATATGACCCACATTCTGAGTACATTATAATGTATATGTGCTTTGTCTTTAGCTAATTTTTATGACAATTAAATATGCTTAATATTGCATATGTTATAGGTAAGGTATGAAGACTCAGATGTACATTGCTGAAGCATTATTAGATGTACCACAATTTCCTACGTAGTGATATATACTATATATCAGAATGTGTTTGTGAAAATATTGTTTTGCTCCTTGTGGTCTAAATATAACATTTCTTATTTGCAATTAGGAGCGACTAAAATTGCAGGTTCCTAACTCCTTTACAACTGAAAGTTCACGAACAGATCAAGAATTCATCTCATCCAATAGGTAAAGTGAAAATATCAAATGGTGTGTTGCTAAAAACAATGATGGTTACACAATTTTGACGGTTGTTTAATGGGCTACATAAAATGTAAAATAGTTATACATTTTAAACATTTGCTTTATCTTCTAAATTATTCTACTTGTGTTTTTTTTATAGTTTGACAGAAATGCAGGACATTTACCTACAACTTTGTGAGGAGTTTTCTAAGTTACAGCAATTGGCAAAACGCCAATCAGGGCTGCTCCAAAAACTGGCAGCAAAGAAGCAAACGTCTGGTTTCTGTAAGTAGATTTGGAAACCTTGTGCATTCTCGCTATGCTTCACTTATACAAGAGATGTTTTACTCATTCGTTTATTGCATTTGTGATGACTAAACGGTTTGCCTTACTATTCTTGGTTTCTCCTGCCACAGCTCCATTACAATCCTCGGAAGAACCCCATTCTCCCGTTAAAGTGGTTTTACCCAGCAACCATGTAAATGCAGTTCATTACAGGAGTAAGAGCAATGTATCGGGAAAAGCAGACCCATTACCCCTGGAAGACACATTCACTTTGATCAACCGAGGCTGTTCAGACAATGGGGCATTTCAGAGGTTGATCATACAGGTAACTTATTTTTGCGTAAGCGTATAAAAATGTGCCGAGTATTTTCTATCCACGCATCTTTTTAAAACATACTTTTCACATTTGAAGGATGTATTGAATAATTAAACACCTTTTTTTAAATTTCCTTCATTATTTAAATGTTCACCTTTTCTAATTAATCACTTTGCAGAATGTGCCCAGCATGTGTTCAGAGGAGACAGAAGCGGCATGTGCTGTCTGTGGACAGACATTTCCCGCTGAGCTGAAGGAAGAATACAGAAAGCATTTTCAAGCTCATTTTGGGATCATGTGACCTCTTGCATTACAATTGGCTTATTAACAACTTTGTGCCGGTCCAAAATATAGAGATCACCGAAGGGGAAAAGCCACAAAATTATGCAATTCGTTATGAAAGTGCACTTTATTGGAGTCATACTATATGCATTGCAAATATAGTTGGATTTTGGTAATCTCATGGTATAAAAGCAGACTTTCCACGAGAGGGCACTATTACACAACCCCATTGACATAAGTGCCGTATATTGTAACACCATTCCATTTAACGCTTCATATGGTGTGTTAGAACACCGTTGAATCATGTGAAACTGATTTGTAAATATTATTACTACACAAAGAGTGATATATAAACGAGTAAATGTGTATGAAAACCTACAGTTGTGCTCGGTAAATTTACCATTGTGATTTAGATACAACCTCTCAGCTTCCAAGTTCCAGCTGCCGCTTATTCTAAACATTTTTTTTAAACGTTCTGCAAACAGTAATTCTGCAGTCATCACACCATATGGTTTAAAGATGTACACTAATAGAGAGCACTGAAAACACGTCATTCACTTATCACGCTTTGTTATGCTTCAAAATAAATAAGACAAAGCAAAATTGTGTACGTGTAAATTTTTAGTGAATATCTGCTGCAGATGAGGAAAGTGTTGACCGTTCCTTAATGTATTTGTACAAATAGGATGAATACAGAGATATGCTGTAGTATGTGTTCTTGCTGTGCCATGAGAGTCCGGGAGGCTGGGGATTGAGGCAGACGCGCCAGCCTCATTAGGACGTGTCAAATCCGCCCGAGGCAACACAGCCCACCCGTTGTGATCACAAGCCACCTTGTTCTACTCCAGCCAGACTGTACACTCCACATATGTAGAATTTAATTGTGCTTATTTTGACTGTTCACTTTTTTGTCATTGTGTGAATGTCATTGTGCGGTGTGAAAAAAATATATTGGCAGATTTGGAACACATCTACAAAAACGTAGCCTTTTATGACTAATGAAAATATGTAAATAACAGGACTTTGATTCTACCAAATTTTGTGATTTTTTTATTATTATCATGTTATAACAGGTGTTAAAACACAGTAATGTACAGCACTTGTTAACTGCTGGATGACGGCCTCCCCACACTGCGGGCTGTTATTATTTGAATTCCAGATATTAAAATACAGTAATGCCACAGTAGACACTATTACATGTGATTACTTAACAATTTTCAACTGCAGAATGTTTATGGTATTCCTTACCCACCGTGCAAGAAGTGTATTTTGGATTTGTTGAAGTACTCGCTTCCCTCGCATAACGCGTGACGTGCATTCCTGAAAAACAGCGCTTAAGACGAATCGCGCTGTATGAATCCTATTTTCCCATAGACATGTTATAAGAGGGAAGCGTTTCCAAAGAAAATTCAAGTGTTTAATTGCATTGTTTTCGCCCTGGATTTACAAAATACATATAAATGTTATGCCTTTTAAGCATTTTGTGCAATGTTAATATTAAGGTGTTTAATAAATTGAAAAGATTACTACTTGCAAAGATTACTTAAGTAACTTAAGGGCTTCTTGAAAACTTCTGTGAGCTGCTTGTAGCAGCAGCACGTGTAATGCAGGAGGAGATCTAAGATGGCTATGCCCAACCCTTGACACTGGGCGCTGCTATGACACGGTGACGCTATCAGAAATATTTGTTAATTTTTAATTTGTATAATTAACAATTGAAACTCAAAGCTGTGAAGTATATTCCTAAAATTTGAATCGCGGTAACTGCGAATTCACACTATGGGGAGGGGCGCGTTATGCGAGAGAACGCCTGCACATCAATCAGTCGGTTTTTGTTCTTAGAGATTTTACATTTCTGTTCAGCATTTCATAAGGATGCTTTTATCGCATACAGACAATGATCATAGTAATATCTACATTAATTCGCTGGTTTTTGGCTATGTAAATGTACAGTGTTGGTAACAATGTCCTTTACCGATACATTCTACTGTATTTAGGAAATGCACGTTTTGTTGTGAATTTAATATCAAGTTTAAGATCTGGATATCATGTGTTACGCTCATAACTAAGGGTTGATGGCCATAACAGATGCTTTCCATATTTTAAGATCTTCAGCGTCTGTCATTGAGAGCCCCATACAACTGCTCACATTCCAATCTTGGCCAAGCCAATTGTATTTTAACCATTTGTTTACACTTGCATACATGCAGGTTTAAGACGCAATTGAATTCACTTTGAGACATTGAATATGCTACTTGCTACAAAGTTTTTACGATGTTTGCCCCTTTTATGTGATGTTACAGATATGTAGTCCGATACATAAAACAATGCAATCATGAATTTGTTATATACTAAAACAAATTAACTCAAGATAGTTTGTGCATTTGGAAACTACTAACTGTGTAGCATATCTTTAGACTTAATCTCCGTCAGTGGCGTAGTTGTGGTTGGCATGGGTCCTGGTGCAAGGAATAAATTTGGAGCCCCTGTCCAAATTTCCCCCTCTTGCGCAGCGCCTGAGCCCTTGGTCCGTGGGGCTTTTGTTCATTTGCACCACATGCACACTTGATATCTGTACCACCGGTAAGAGGTAACGATATCTATGGGTCATCACCTGCGTTGAGAGTTTTATTTCTGTGCACTGTGTTGTGGTTGTGCTGGACGTCAGTTACTGGGTTCCAAATTGTTAATTGGACTAAATGGTTAAGACAATTGATTATAATGTATTTTTTTACTCACTAATCACCTTCCATCATCTATACACTGCTAGATGAAGGCCTTCCCACAACTTTATATCCCTAAAGGTCCTGCAATGCATTAAGCTCCTGCACATGAACGGATCTCATTCATCCATTTTCAGGATGGTTATCCTCTCGGGCTTATTCTCCCCTTAAGCTGCAATTCTGTTACTATTTTTGTTCATCTGTCATCCCTCTCAATAATGTGTCTTGCCCACGCCCACTTTTCTCAATAGTCATTTTGATGTCTCTAGTGGTGTAATCAGCACTGTGGAGGCAGTGATGGTGGATCACACATGTTGTAAAGCTCCGTCTGGTTCAGCGTCAAGGTGGCCCCATACCCTGGCTCACCAGAAGGCAGTACGGCAAGTGAACTAATCGCCATCTGCTTCCATATGTACAGGGATAGTGTTGTCTCCTTGCGTGTGTGGGGTTTCTCCGAATGCTCCGGTTCACTCCCTCTTGTAAAAACACTCATAAATTGGCTGACATCTTAAAATAAAAACCCAGTGCATGGCCCTTGTGAAAAGAGTCCTACACAGAAGTGTAGCTCTCCTGGATAAACAAGTAGATTTCCAAAATGTGTAATGACGAACTCATTTGTTCCGTGGTCCAATGTGGCTCCAATCTGTTCTGTATCGGTGTATTCCCAGCATGCATCAATGCCTTCAATCATGAATTTCGGCATTTGCATTGTATTTGTCTGTGTCCGTGTTTCTGATCTATTGTCACAATCAGAGTCACGATTTAATAAAACAAACAATGGATTATCTTATCGTTTTTACCATCTTGTTTGTATAGTTAATTCCTGTAGACTATTTCGTACACGGTTCGATACGTGTATTGGTAGTGGATAAATGTGGATAAATGTACATAATCATCGCCCCCCCCTGCTAGCAGACGAATACCCGTTTGCTGGCCACGTGCAGTCGTCACCTCTGTGACCACAGGGGCAGCTGCCACTGGGGGTGCCCTTTCGGTCTGCAGAGATGACCTAATGTCAAGTGCCCTGATGTGGTCGTAATAATCGATTTAAATCGATTCGTGGATACTAGGTATGCTTGTTTGCTTAATATTTTTTAACAAATTTTGGTGATACTGCCGTTCGCAGTGTGCCCAATCACAAATAGCAACAACAAAAACCACCCTGTGATCAAGGGCCATTTCTAGTTTCCTTTCAAGGCAACAGTCGTTGAGGAACGTTCTAGAAGATATTTTTAAGGTATAGTTTGAAAATATGATAACGTATTGTAAATACAGCACAGTAATCGATTTTCACTCGCAATGATTCGAGAAGCGTGTGGTGAGTGGCAACATGTAGAGTACTGGGAATCGATTAATCGGTGCACGTGTATACGGCTCATAGTGGCTACGCATGGTAAATAATCGGCACATCTGTGTACAAGCCTAATCAATCGCGTCCTGTATTTCAAATAACATAACATTCCCCCAAGTAGTCTACATGCATACCTGTCAACCCCTTATCAGCGCCTACCTTATTACAGACCTATTCAGACCTTACTGGTCACCCCTTGGCCTTATAAATCTCAACGTTCATCCTACAAAGTCCCATCACAACGGAGAAACACAAATTACAAAAAATATTTGCCCGTATTGAAACGGCTGTACGCCTCATGGACCTGAAAACTCTGTACATGAATATGGGTACACCGTATGGGTTGACAGGTATGTAATAGCGGCCACGCATGGTAAATAATCGACACATTCTACGTATCTATCGTGAGAGTTACGATTAATTCACATCCGTGTACATGCCTGATCAATCCCGCGCCCTGTATTTCAAATAACACACACGCACATCATATAACAATATCCCCACACCAACCGGTCTATCTCTATAATGCCTATCGCAATCCGGTCAATCGACTAATAAACAATGTGCATTTATGTATAGCTTAATCGGTAACGTGTTGAAAATCCGGGAAGCCAAAAATCAAGCTACAAAATGGGACCTTTTTTTTGCCAATATCAAGATATAAAATAAGATTCCTTGCAAAATGTTTTCTGCTTGGCGTTTGAACATCTTAACACCTCCCCATAGAGGTTAGTCAGTTTAACACGTAGGCTTTCGTGACCAGTATTCATAATAGTTTTTTTGGGGTGTTAGATAGCGTAAAAATATTAATGTGTCGTTAATCCCGCCACCACCCGACACAGCCAATTAGTAATAGGGTTTGTCACGTAAACAGAACGTAGCCAATTCGTTACGAGTACAGCACACCGGTATGTTGGAGAGCAGAGCCACAACATTTACTTGTGTGCTCTTCTAACGTGTACCGGACACATTTATATATTTACCCGATCTCACCCAAAAAAAAGACCTGTATTATGGATCTTAACACCTGTTTTTTTTTGCCAGAAATGTTAACAAAAAAAATGTTATTCAAACAAAAAATATTGTTATTTAATTGAAAAAAAAAAGGCTGTTGGTGTTGTCAATAAAGTTTCGAGATTTCAAAATTCCCCCTCCCTCCCTCCCCCCTGCTCCCGTCGTGCCCCTCGCTCCTCCGTTCTAATTTTTTTCTGCTCGTCATTCACCGACGCCGCGTCGCGTCGCGAAAAAAAGAACTGAAAACTCCTGCGTCTTTTTTAAGTCGGCCTTCTCCTTCTGGGTTGTCGCTCGCGCGCAAAAAAAACTATCGTAAGTCTCGCAGTTTAGTGTCGTTGCGTGCGCTCGCGCTTTGTGTGGTTGTCTTAAGACGCGGGTGAGAGGCGCGCGCGCGTACGAAGGCCGCGCGCGAGCCTCGGTCTTGTCTGGTCGCGCTGCCGGGTTGAGGTGAGCCCTGACCCCGCGAAGCCCCGTTTTCGCCGACTTACCCCAAGCAACCTCGCCTAGCCCACTAGCTCGTGTGTCACTATCATCGGGATGCACTATCTCTGGTCCACCTATTCCCAGTCGCGTTATTCCTGATTCCGTTTTTTTAAACAATCCCCGTATGCACAGTCACACTAACTCACATCCACTCTATACGCGATCTTAGCCCTGGCCTCCACATTCCCAGCCCCGGTCGGCTTGACTTGAAATTCCCCTTATCATAGTCCCTATACTGGCGGGCTCCATTTACAAAGTTCCCCTATGTCCAGCCCTTCTAGCCCAATCCCTCCAAGTCATAGTCTCCCTAATGACAGCTTGCTGATCCTTGTTATCACAAACTCCGGATTCCCATTTCCCCGGTTCATTCTAAATCGTATTTATTCCAATCCCGGTTCCCCTATACAGTACTCGATCCCCTTATTCCGGTTCCCTTAACCAACCATCGACCTAACTCGTATTACCCTTTATCCCCACTCACTATACCCAGTCTAAAAGATTCTGAGTCGCTCCAATGTCTAGTCTCACTTATCACGTTCCCCCTATCGGCCCTCATGTTGATCACTAATCCATCCATCCCCAATATTTTTTGATCCATTTTCATTCCCGTACTATTAATCATGCTCTTTCTGCCCCAATTATCCCGATACACATGTCTCTGTTTCTTGCCAGTTCCCCCCGAGTGCCATCCAATTTCTCCCCGCTATCATGCCCTGTTTATTTCCAATGTTACAACCCTGTTCCAGATCCTCCTGTCGGCCAATCTCCCTTGCCTTGGTACCTTTATGCCCACCCAGTCTCCCTGTCCCAAGTCCTCTTCTCTTTGATCTCCTTAACTCCGCCCAATGTTGCCTAAAGTGCAGATTATGAAGTTCATATAATTGTACTTGATTATTTAAACCACATCCCATGCAGTACATCTCGAGGTGCCATAACAAATAAGTATTTTAGATAATAACATGAGAATCACTCAGGATGGAACTGATAAACGTGACTCTGCCTGAAGCAGAAATGTCTGTTTGACGTAATGACTCGACAATACATTCCAAAGTTTACAGTACAATTATTCAATAATAGTGAGGTGAAATGTATTGGAGCACTGTAGAAAAAAAATGCAATGTAAGTTTTGTAGCCTTTCATATACTCTATATAACCTCACACCACCCATAAACTAAACCTACACCTGTCTGTGCCCCTATTTTCATGTAACACCATCTCGAAATTCAGTCACATTTGAATGCATTAAATTCAAATAGTATTGCCTTGTATTGCCAACTAAATTTACCCCGACCCCATGTAAACTTAAATTAACTGAAGTTATTCCTCAACCCAGCTAAGCTTATTATTAGATTCCAATACATAACTAACATTTACATGCGCAGCCTGTTTTGTCAATTCACTACTGGATGAGGGCTTCTCAGCTGCGGTTGAGCCATGAAGGTTATTTTCCCATATTTTCCATGACGATTGATGTTGGTTGGTGAAGGTGGAGGAAATACAGAATGGTTAATTTTACGACAATGGCCTCTACTGCCCAATACGTCTACTACACATGTATGCATAGTATTCACACATTAATGCGCAATGCAGGCAAAATCATGTTTAAATTGAGGTTTGACGGGATTGAGTTCATTTCCGGGCGCTTTCGTCACAGACCCATACCGAACACTACCCCTAAATCTACAGTATTTACAACTCTTAACACAATCCCAAAACCCCAACACTAACTGAAATCCTGTAAAATTACAAACATTTAATTCAAATTAAGTCACTGACACTCAAACGCGGATATAATTTTTATAAAAATTCGTCCATTGGTCATTTTTATTCAGCAGCATAATTTTTAGTTTGACTTCAATTTACCTTATCCCGGCTAAAATATAATGACTGGATCACATCCAGGCTTAACCCTGCTTTACTTCCAAGGTCTGACAATTGGGTGCACTCAGTGTGATTTTGAAGGTTCCGACTGCTGTGGTCTAATTACACTTTTAATTTTTGAACGCAGAGTGTGGTACATAAGTAATCATTCATCCTTCTGTTCTGCAGAGCCATGGACCGGCTGTTGAGACTGGGTGCTGGTGGGATGTCGGGGCTGGGCCAGGTACTGTTTTGATCCAACTCTCAGCAACAGCCGTTTCATAGTGGCACTTGTTTTTGTGTATATGTTCTTGGTAGTCCACGATGCTATTACCCCTTCAACCATTATTTAGATTGCCTTGTAAGTGCAAATTGACATTTACACCTCTAAGGGAAACTCATTCAAAGAAGTTACTGGTGTTTATTGTTTTTTACATCTAAATGTTGGTTTAATCACCAGTGTGTGTGCTGCTCTTATTTGGTGTCCATATTAAAGTGACATTCTGCATTTGTGAAGTGCATATTTTTTTGGTGTAAGTGGATCGTATGAAAGACTAAGGAGCTTATAAGCAATTAACTATTCAACATAACGTTGCAGCTCAATCCTATCATCACAATAATTTACACTTTTTTCTGGGTCTATATGTAAAAATCCACAAATCAGATTGCCGTGTATAGAATTTGTATTGGTTATATGTTTATGGTATACATGTGCCTGTCAGTGAGTGTAAATGCATTATATACCATATATTTCACTTTTATTATTTTATTTCGAAGATATTTGTTTCAACTCTTTCAAAGTTCTGTCACTAGTTATGCACGACAGTATTACTGTGTACTGCACACAATTTCAGACCTATATCTCAAACTGCAGGGTACAATAATTAATTTTAGCACATTTAGTAAGATTATTTTTTGTCTATTAAATTAATTTGGCCTTCCTTTTGGCTTACTTAAATAGAACAGCGGGGGGGGGGGGGGGGCTGCCATGCCCCACTCTTTAAAGCAGGCACTGTTATTAATGCGTTGGCTTTGAATTTGTGCGGGATTCTTTTTCTAATTAAAATTCTTTGTATTTAATGTAATAAAATGTCATTTGAAAGTTAAATTATTTCCCCCCTATGTTGATATTACTGTTAGTATACAATGCAATGATTAAACTTCCCTCCCGCCCTCCCCTGTGTGGAATCGAAGAGCTCATTTGTGGGGTGTGATATTGAAACAGCGGGCGGTCCCAGGCAGGAAGCACCAGGCCTCGTTAGCTAGCCGCGCCTGCTAATCCGCTGGCGACATGCCGCATGCTCCTAATCACTGTGTGGGGGCTAACATCTGCTCCCCAGGGCTGAGCGCTGGTCTGCCTTGCACGTTGAGGGCTTTCTCTGTTGCTTAGAGCGTCACGTCCTAAAGTCTTCATCTTAACGCGTAGCGCCGAGACGGGGTCTGATGGGTTTTAATTGTGGTCAGCTTTTTCATTAGCAGGATATGTCTGAAATGCTTTGTTGATATAAACGTGGCACTTTGTGTGTTCGTTTATTGAGATGACTGCAACCACGATCTAGCATGTAAAAAACTAAACTTGTGCAGTAATGACTTTGAGTATGGCACTCAATTCACGAAATGAAGCAGTTATGACAAACGTAGTCTTTTTTTAAAATGTAAACGCCAGTTTCAAAAGCAATTCTATAAAGCAATTACCAAGATATGTTGTTCCATATTACTTTAGAAACATAACTGAGCATTGCATACATGGTCTTTCTTAGCCATTTAAAGTAATGATTGTTGCTTTTTAAATCAATGCTATTTAGCCATTAATTTTAAAATAGTTATAATTCACACTAAACTGTGGCCATATTGTTCTTAAAAATAAATTAAAACACATTCTCCCGCAATGTTTTGTTGAGTGAAGGCAACTGCAAAGTTGATCGTAGGCAGCAGCTTCTTATGGCTGCATAATATAGGAGTGTAAACAACATGCCATCTGTAACGTGCTGCCAAGCAGCCGTCCGGAAGTGCAGAGCCGATAATTGGCTACTCGGGAGCTAATTTGAAATGAGTCGCTGGCGCAGCAGGGATCCTGGATAACTGGGGGCTGCCATCGATTTTTTTTGGAAGCAGAATTTGTTTTTCACCGCTGTTCTTATTAATCTCAACTTCTCAAAGCTGTTTGAGTAAAAAAAAGTTGTGCTGTAAAGGTCTTGGCATTGGTGAGGTTCAGACAAAACTGTGAAATTTGATTCCTAAAAATGGACAGCAATTAAGAAACTTAGGCAGCTTATGAAGTTGGTGTTGGACCTTGATTTAACTAATGATTGCTGAATAACTTGTATACTGAAATCTAATTCCTTAACTTTTATAATTATTTTACTTGTTTTTTTCCTCCAGCTAGACATACGTGTGCATAGCTTTGTACCATATTTTAAAGTTGTATTTATGAATTGCGATTACGATATTATTTTGACCACAATCATTAAAATCCATAATGTAATCCTTTGTTTCACAGCCCACATCCCCAATTGTTAAACAAGTGATTATGTATTACCTTTTGGCTTGGCACACACTCCATTTGACCTATGATGCATCAGGACCTGTAGCAAGACCAATCGATAAACACTCTCATCTTGGTAGCAGACATTCTGCAAATAATTGACTGGTGATGGCAGGACCGTGAGAGATCAGACCGGGTACCATACTTTACACTTTTGTATTGAACATGCTACTGCATGCTTTGCCACAACATATTATTTTCGCCTTAGAGTCTGAAAGAAGTGGTTTCCTGATAGCGTGTACTTTTGGATAACAAAATAATTTGAACATCATTCAGCCAGTCTAGAGCACTCCGACGTGCAGACTTTCATCTGCTGGTAATCCTACCAACCCCTCTGGTTCGCTGCAGTGGCAGAGGGTTTGTCATTTTAGGGACCATCCATTTAGTATGTAAGCATGGAGGGTGGAGGGTGTTAAAATGCGTTAATATTATTCATCCTTGATCGTTTCTGCGTGGATTAAATATCGGCCGTTCTATAGGATTCGGGGGGAGGGGGGGGGTGCGTCAGTCGTATGTACGCAGGTGGGGGGGGGGGGGTGTAAAAAGTCCGCGTGCGTACAGGGAGAGGGGGAGGGGTCAAGTTTTGACAGATTTTTGCTTACGTATTAAATGGATGGCCCCTTACTTGAACATTATGGAACCATCTGCCATTATGACTGCAGTTATGCCCTTTTTAAAATCAAGTTTTTAATTATGCCTCAATACGTTTCCTTCTTGTAAGGCATTTTAAAATTAAGCATGGCTCATAAGAAAGATGTGTGTGCTGTGGTTGAATGCTGTATGATATTCATTGTCGAATGCGGTGTGAGGAATGCAGAATAGCAATATTGAAACGTGCCCTGGCCACAAAATTCAAGTTTTATTATTAAAATGATAATTATGGTATTATTTGATCATGGTTGATGCAAGTGTTATTTCACAGCTTTCAAAACAATAATCTAAAATACAGTATACGGTAATGTTAACTTAATTCTGTAATACACAGGCTATATTTCATCAATGAGAAGTTATCCTTCACTCTTATGTCAGGCAGGTGTGGTTGTAAGTAATTCATATTACATGGCGTTTATCAGCAGTTCCCTCATTTCATATTCTCCGAAATTGTTTCTGTTCTCTTCTAGGGCCCTCCTAGTGATGCCCCAGCAGTGGACACAGCTGAGCAGGTGTACATCTCTTCTCTGGCCTTGCTCAAGGTTTGTTATTGTTCACATGCCTTGTGATTTTTGTCGCTGCAGTAGAATTACTCGAGGGGCGTACTCACATTGAAGCACACAGTGCAGTTTGGTTTCTCTGGTGAGAAAATAGCAGACATAGCTAGGTGGTTGCTACATCGGAGGATTGTGGGAGATGGTAACAGCTTGGGGGGAGGTCTTCATCCAGCAGAGGATTGATCGTGGCTGATTGTGATAAAGATGAACTCGGTGTACATAAGTGCCATTATTAATCACACATAAGCCAAACCTACTTTGGTTTGAAATGCACTATATTGACTACCCTGAAGTCTGTACGTAACCCTTATGACTATGATCATTCACTCTCATTTATTATTCATACAATTTAATAGCTTGTCGACTATTTCCAGTTTGTTATTGAGGTTTATGCTGGTGAAACACCACATTATCTTTTGGCAACACCCGTGCTGTGTTCACCACCAGTTATGTTATTTAATGCAGGACAAAACACACGTCACGCTGGTTCCCAACCAGGACAGCTTATTCCAAGATGAAATAAGCAATGCACTCCATATGTGTGAAGTTTTGAAATGCAGTAGCATATAGATACTTATACATCTCCAGTAAATTGTCGCATTGAAGGTCTTGTTGGCCAATATATTTATTTCCGGATGAAATAACATGGCATGTGAGGCTTATATATATTTTTTTCAAATATTGAACAGCATTTTTAAAAATAACATTTTGATTTAAAAATTCTTGCATGCAGACCTCAAGTTTGCGTCATCGGCATCACAGATTGACTGAACTGCATAAGTCGGTCATGGCAAAACGTGTTCATATTTGTTTTAAGATAATTGTTTTCGAAATCGATTTAACTATTACAAAAATCATGGAATCAATAATAAAATCAAAATTCGATTCCAGTAGTGATTGAATTGATTGGCACGTGCAAAGTTCAAACTGAACGGCACATTTGGATGTGATTTGTCAGCAGCAGCAGGCATTAGCAGCCAGCAGCCAGGCTCATCAGTCACAGTCTGATATATTCCGCATCATAATGAAACGTAACATTCCAGTGTATCTGAAGAGGAAAGTTTTGAATTTGTGAATGTTACCTGCTATAACTTATGGATCCGAAAGGTGGACACTTGTGAAGAGGATGGAACATATGCTCAAAAGAGCACAACGATGCATGGAGAAATGCATGCTGGGGCGTTTTTCCACTTTTTTAATGAAAAAATTCACATTTGCTCTCTGAAAATCTTAAACATTACAGCCAGACTCTTGCACAGAAGAAAGCTTATTTTCCAGTTCCAGGGGTTTAGCAACGCAACAGCCATGACGTCACCAGCTCATCATCATGCATCGCCTCCTTTTTCCTGGAGTGGAGCGGCACACAAATAAGCCAAATGTTTTCTTCATTTTGTTCTCGCACTGCACTAATTTCCAAGGCTTGTTGTGGCTTATGCAAGTGTAATATTGCAATTGTGGCTGCAATTGTACATGCTGCATGCATTGCTTTTTCAGTAATGTGGTGTTTGATGTGTAAAGTTGTTAAGCTGTGTTATAATTTTCCATGATTAAATTATAGTTAACGTTTTTTATTTCCTGTGTTGTAATATTATGTAATGGCATACCATGTAATTTTAGTAATGCATGATGGTCATTATCAGCCATGATCTGTCTACTGCTGGATAATGCTGCCCCTCAGCTATAACTATTTCTTACAATCCTAAAATGCAATAATCTACTCCACCTAACACATGCATGTGAGCCCATTTATTTGCTCCATCTCTTGGGTGGATGTATTTGGCATCCAAAGAAGCATTCCTTTCTTTGGCTGCTGCCCTTCCAGCTCTAGTTGGCATCAATTGCAGCGCTACTAGTGCTGCGCCTGCCTTTTCAGTCGCTCATGCATATGCATCAGCGATGCATCTAGCGAATAACACCACCTTCTCCAGGCGGTGTATTTTGTGCTGCTAATGTCGCCGTTAACATATTTCCAGTTCACCTGGCTCGAATATGTTCCTGATGCGCAAGTTTGTACGGCGTTAGAGGTGAACTGGAAAGTACCGTACTGAGAGACAGAAAGTGCAACACGTGGATTCGAGAACCTATGCAGGTTAAAGACATAATTTTTACTGTTAATAAAGTACGTGGGCTTAGATAGGACACGTAGCAAGAAGAGATTATAGCCAGTTGATTAGAATAACGACTTAGTGTCAGCCAAAAAGTGGGAAAGCACCCAAAAAGAAGTCCATTCCTGAGATGGAGTGATGAGATTCCAACATATTCAGGTATTGGCTGGATCGTTGGACCAAGAAGGATGCCGACAGCTTGGGAAGACCTTTATCTAGCATTGGAAGGCCTTTATCTAGCATTGGATTGTTCATATTTGATGAGGATGAACAACCTAGTTACGAGTTTATTTTATTTAATAATGCCTGGGCCACCAAATAACACCTGATGATGACCGTTTGAGTTATGGTCGAAACGTCGTGATAATTTTTTATTGTTTTATATATATTTTGTTATTTTGTTGTTTCTCTTCAACGTGACTTTACCGAAAAAACTAAGAATATAAAGGCAAAACAGTCAAGTACAGGAATTAAGGAAATATAAATCAAAACCAAAACACTGCATCCCATGAGGAATCCAATATATTGCAAAGATAAACCAATGTTAATACAAAGTTTAATATTAAATTCCCTTAAATGTACATCCGCTTGGGCAAACTAATTCCAGACTGATCACACCGCATATTACAAAACTAAGCTACCGAAGCATTTGAACAGATGTAGGTGTACTGTCGTAGTAATATGTAAACAAACAAGATAGATGTCACATCATTGCAAGTGAAGTTATCATAAAGAATCAACAGTTTAGCGTCTCGTGGTGGTGCAGGTCGTGCAAGGTGCACACTGGGCCCGACTGTCTGCTGGGTTGGGTGTGGCGGAGTGGCCCGCCACGCCCCCCCCACTGCAGGGGGATGGAGTCTTCACACGTTGGATATGAGTATTGATCGGCCTGGCCTGCCGGAGATTGGAAGGGACAGGATCGCAAGGGATCACGAGCTGTTGACAGTTTTTTGTCGTTTCTTTTCTCACTGTTGATTATTGAGCCCGTGCAAGGCAGAGTTCAGAGCAGCAAAACAAATTCTTTAAACAATAAAAATGCCAAAATCTGTTGCCTTCTAGCCAATAGTCAAAGTATATCCGATCAAGGGTAACTCATGACAAATTTAGAAGGCTTATCACTTGTACACACATGGATCGGAAAAGCATGGTGGACTCAGGTCTACACTTTTTTAGCATTTTTTTTAATGGTGTACCTCAAATTAGTTTCATGTTTATTATAAACACACCTATACAAACGATGTTTTCACCCTTCTCTTTGTTCCACAGCTGAGTGTGTAACTTATAATCAATCCCATCTGTTGTGCCCGATTAATGTTCCTCACACTGTTGGTCAGATTTGTTTTGATCTACAATTGTGACTGCTAAGGACATTGACTCACTGGGAAACAATTATTTCTTGTGCTGCGATTATGAGTGCGCGAAGGTGTAAAGTGAAAGCAGTATAGTTTTTGCTTCACTTGTGAGTAAAGTGGCGGTTTAGTGTTGACCAACGAACCTTTATCCAACTCGCAGATGCTGAAGCATGGGCGAGCAGGTGTGCCGATGGAGGTGATGGGCCTGATGCTGGGAGAGTTTGTGGACGACTATACAGTCCGCGTCATTGACGTTTTCGCCATGCCGCAGTCCGGCACGGTATGCGTTCTGTACGGCATTGCCGCACGAGTTCACACCAACATGTGCACACACACACACAAATAACATGCTCTGATATGTGCGTAGAACACAGGCGTGGTTTAAAGTACCTTATAAACAATGTTGACAATTTCATTGTTTTTCATTCTGCATTGTGCAGTGAAAATGGTTAAACAATTAATGTGAATCTTTACACATAGTCAAAATCCTGTGTCAGGCTATCTTGGGTTTGTGGTTGCAAGAGGTGAGAAAAGCATTTTCCAATTGTTTCTTCGTTTATCTTGGCACTTAATAAACACCTAATGTAAGTGTGGAGTATTTAAAACAGCAGTGAAGTGTTGTGTTGATGGCATAGCATAAATGTGTAATGTTATGGGTGTAAATGCCCATATCTGTTGTGGGTTTGGGTATTAATTGTCTTGACCATTGCACACAGGATGATTTAAGACTCTTCTACAAATGTTACATTTGGCTTAAAGTAGGAAATTAGTTTATTTAATATCAAAGTGAAAACGGTGCATTTTTATATATATTGCACACCACGTATTTCTTTCCTGCTTATATGAACAGATTTTAGGTAGTGGCTAAAAGTCTTAGTGTTAATCTAACTCATCAATGGCCATTACTCCACTTTACTTGCTAAGAGCAAACGCATGAAGATGTCTTGTTTCCAATTATTTTAAACCTTGGAAAATGGCCAAATACAAGCTGAGTAAAGCGGAATTTGAACATGTGTCTCGACAATCCCTGCAGAAAGTACCATACCCGTGAGTCGTGGTTTCCTTATTTCTTGGCTATGATCATGTGTATTATTTGTGATGGGGTAAGTTTACCCACCGGTATATAAAATTGCACCTGGCATGGGTGAGAAGTGCAGCTCAGCATAAGCTGTGAAAACCAATTGTAGTCCTGCCTTTGGTCATACAGCAGTTGTCAAGGTGAGCAACAAGCCGCCTTAAAATTGACCGTGTCTTGAGTACAACGGAGCACAACGGGGCGACAATTGCCACGCATCTGATCTCGAGCGGGCGCCTGTAGGAGACGCTGGCGCGCGGTCACACCCGGCGGTTCGTGGCCCGGTCACCCCCTGCTGCGGCCCGCCTGCAAAGGTCGCGTTAGCGAGCCGTGACTGAACATGAACCCGCCCTGTTGCCTGTCTCTCCCTCTTACGTTCACCATGACCACGGCCAATGATTTTCTTTCTCAGTGACAGGTCACATCCATGGCAGAAAATGTCACTTTTATTTGTTTACATTTTTAATCAATGTTTATGAGCGTGTATGTGGTAGTGTTGCTGTCGTTATCACCAATACTTGGTGCGGTAAATGAAATTTGTCTCGGAATGTTATACACGTTTATTTTAACATAGTCACATTTTTAGCAAAGTGCAGCATGTAGACAATGTGTTTGCTATGTGAAGTACACCACACTTACTCTTTTGTTGGTGAAGCATCTGACTTCATTGCAAGATACTATTAGATTTATGTTTATCTGATGTTTTGTTCAAATATAATATAGGATATTTTTACACAATTATACTTCCGTTCAAATACAAATCTTTTTTTATTCCACTGCCCACATTGTGACAGGTATTTAAATATATATTTAAAAAACAATTGCTATTTTAAACCATTTTCGGTCCTTATACATTTTAGCAAACAAAGCTTTGGGCAGATATGACAAGAAACATTTTCACACTCACAGCTTTAAAATCCTATTGCATTTAGTTCTTGTCTAAATTAGATTTTATGTAAAAGAATGCACTTTGTTTTTCGTTGAGGATTTTCATTTCCATGTGAGTTGTCAATTAGTGTGGTCTTGAATCGACTACGATGATTTGACTTTCCTCATTGTGTTCTCTTTGAAAACTTGATATGTGTGTTTTTAATAAACCCTGTTTAAACGGTAAAACCAGTTTTGGTGCGCATGCATCACATGATGCTGAGTAGGTACTGCTGTAACCATTAATGGATTTCAATCGTTCTGCACATTAATAGTTTTCATTGAGCTGGTTTGTCGATTTCCCCCTCCCTCCTCCTAACGAATGTGCTCAGTGATAGAGCGCGGATTTTGTCTTATCGCGCAGGGCGTGAGCGTCGAAGCCGTGGATCCCGTATTTCAGGCCAAGATGTTGGATATGCTCAAGCAAACCGGCCGGTGAGCTTTTGGCTTTGCAACCACCATCGCCAAAGCATTTTTTTTTTATGGAAGCAACTCGCATAACATTGGCTACCTTCGAAATAATGTATTTATCTTCTTTGGTTCTTTTGGTAAAGTCACGTAGAATGAGAATAAAATAACAAATTAATAAAATAAAATAACACAATAAAATTCTCACGACGTTTCGGCCACAACACAAGTGGCCTTCTTCAGGTGAAAGGAAATGACCTGTCGGGACGACAGAGCTTCAATGTCGTCCCGACAGATCTGTTCCTTTCACCTGAAGAAGGCCACTTGTGTTGTGGCCGAAACGTCGTGAGAATTTTATTGTGTTATTTTATTAATTTATTATTTTATTCTCATTCTACGTGACTTTACCGAAAGAACCAAAGAAGATGAATCCTTGCAGTCACGAAAGCTTTAAATCGAAATATAATGTATTTACTTTGTGCAATGCATGCATTTAAGAAGCAACACGTTGAAGAAGACAAAACGGATATTTAAAACAAATGTTCGCTTGACATTGTCCTCGCTTATCTACGGCTGAGCATGCCTCATCGTGTGAGCATCTCTGGCCAGACCCCGGCAGCCCCCGTAGCTCTCGGCACTCACACCCAGCCATTCTCGCTCCGTCATCGGTTTGTCGGACACCCAGAGCCCTGTCTGTACTTGCCGACCCCCTGGCTGCCAGGCTTTCCCCCCCCCCCCCCCCCCCCCACCATGCCCCTTTGCTTGGGGAAATTACAATCAGTAACGAGAGGCTATCTGCATAAGCTGTGAAGATTCAGTCCCTCCCCTGCTAAACACTACCACTGCCACTGCTGCTGTGCAGATAATTGAACTCTTAAATGGTCTGTGCCGTTCGTTGCGGGTGAGGCCAAGGTGCTAAAACATGGGATTCACGGACTAAGCTCTGCTGGTTGGGAGCACTAGAACACTGCTGACTTTTCGCCTGCCATTGACTTGCCTAAGGCTGTAAAGAGTGCAATATCTCATTGTTTAAAGCATGGTAGCATACAGTGATTATTTATTTAATCTACCTCTAATTTTGTGACTACGCTATATATTGATTGCTCATGACTACCATTTAATATTGTCGTCATTAACATATTTGCAATCATTCATGCGTTCTGTTTTTAACGATTTCTAACTAGGTTTGGATGTATTTATTATTTAATTCTGTCCATAATGGGGGGGGCATTATATCTCTCGCAAAGATGATCGAATATGAACGAACCTATTGTATAAAGTTGTGTTGCATATATGGGCTTACCCAATAGAAAACCGGTCGCATCAATCAAAAGTTCCCCAAAACCTGGAGACAAACCAAAGGGAAGAGGACTTTGCAAATATGCAAGTCCCTTTTGACCTCACAGGTACCCGTCGGCTTCCATACTGAGAAATAAATACATCTGAAGACAGATTTTTTTGGGAAAAGTTACATATACCATGTGTTTGCATGATATTTTCAGAACTTGTTTACAAAATCTTGTACTACACAGCGCATTATTGTCAGGTACACTCAGACGAAGAGAGAGAGCCAAGACATTGTGTTTCTCTACCACCAGGCCTGAGATGGTGGTCGGGTGGTACCACAGCCACCCGGGGTTCGGCTGTTGGCTCTCAGGTGTCGACATCAACACACAGCAGAGCTTTGAGGCGCTGTCGGAGCGAGCTGTCGCCGTGGTGGTCGATCCCATCCAGAGCGTCAAGGGCAAGGTATCGCTTTGAGTTTACTCGGCCTGGCCCTTTTGTGTTGTCTGTTTTTCTGAACACGCGAGCGAGTTTTCATCCTGCCTTTAACCCTGGCCATCCCAGAACGTGAGTGATTTTTTTTCTTTAGAGCAATTGACTTAATTCCAATTCCATCCAGGGCTGAGCTTTGGAAAATAACCCCCCCCCCCCTATTCCTGATTGGGCTTTATGAGGTCTGGAAATTGTTCCATGAGAAATTTATATCCAATGAATGAACTTCACTTCTCCTCAAAGCATAAGACCTAGGATTCTCATACATGCCAATGTGTTGTACGTTTCAATAATATTATATTTTGTGCACACTTTATTCAGTATCTAAACAGCAAGGAAGAGAGACCATATCCTAGCCATACCTGTCAGCATGGTGAACAATTTATTCAAAGGAAGTGCTCTGTGATTATGGCACAGACACTTCAGCCAATGCCTGGATGTGCGCTCGGCAAACTGTGCAGGCATACACTGCTTCCAGCCCCCAAGCAGCTCCACAGCCTCCCTGTCTGCAGCAACATATAGTGTCTTCAGGTGGTGCATCAGATGGGAGCCACAGCGGCCTGGGTATTGATCATGTAATCAGCTAGGTGGAAGAATGTCTATCTGGTAACCAGGAGGGTTTAGGTTCTATTCCTGAAGCGGGCAGTGAAAATGAAGATGCCTCTTCGGGTTGTGTGGTTATATAGGTGGTGTATTTGTGTATTTCCTTAGCTTGGGTATATTAACGAGATATAAGATATCATTCGAGCTTCGGTTTTGGTCATAGTTTGTGGTCACATTTTATTTTAATGTTGGACAAATGTTTCTCTCATGATGTATACATCCCAAAAGTAAATTTCCTTTGTTCTAAATGGCTTTCAGTTGCCTGAAAACTGCACAATGTGGCAACAGCTTATCATTTGGAATATGGAGAATCGTGTTTAGGAAATGCAATTTTGTTTTTACCTTGTGAAGTGCGATACATTAATGGGTGCCCTTTTCACACCTTGTTATTTGTTTTGTTTTTTCTTTCAAATAACACACGTATAAACATAATCCTTTTTGGTGTCATCTCATTTAAACAAAGTGCCGCTTTTGAGTGTTTTCTATGGTCATTAACAACAAGACTTAATAACAAAACGCCAGCTTCGAGAACGAATAAATAACCAGAAAATACACATTGCACACACGTAGGTAGTAGATACATGGATACAGTGTATACGGACGTATATAAAATCATGATGTCGGATTGAGAGCTGCGACAGCTCTCTGTAACGCACAGTAGCAGGCCTGGCCACTGCTCACCACGAAGCTTTAATTTGTGAGGTGTGAACGCCTGTAGGTTCTATTCTCACCTCTCACCGGGCATGTGGAGAGGGCTGCTGCCGAGATTGCAGGTGAATGTCCATCATCTAAGTCGGAGTAATACATAAGAGACCCTATCTTCTCCTCTCGTTTGCCAAAGTGCCATAGCTCATCTGCCAGCCGTCGTGAAAACGACTATAGTTATTTTTAATGTCAGCTGTACATTCTGGGCGGCGGAATGATTTGAAGCCTTCAAAGTCTTTTATCACAAAGGTTCATTAAGCCCTTAATGTGCTAACCATGAAAATATCTATTTTGGATCTGACCCATTTAATGGCATGGTTGAAATGGTTTAAAATGTTGCATGTGAAGTGTGGCATTTGCATTGTATAATTCTCTCGCAGTTTTGCATACACAAACTGAGCCGCTCTCTCTCTCTCTCATGCCTCGGTAATTTACAATGTCTTAGCTGCTCTAGGATGCACACGTCTGCTGGTATCCCTGCAGGGCTGGCTGTCGCATCACATCCCTCCCATCCTCCTGATGTCTAACAAGTTTTTGAAACATTCTATATGTTAAAACAAAGTGTGGTTTGCGGAGGATTTAACCAATTGCCTCTGGCTGCACTGCGTAACGGCTGTGTAGCTGGAAGATCATTTTTTTGTGCTTAACGTGGGATTAGCGAGATTGAATTTTAATACGGATTTTTTTCCTACTTGCATCAAAGTCAGTTTTGAGTATTTTTTTCCCTTTGTTTTATGTCGGCTTGCAACTTGCCACAATCTATCCAAAGTTTTTACATGTTCCTTAATGCACATTTTACATTAGACAGTCGTAGGTACACTATTACGTGGATACACATTTCCTGCAGACGAATTTCAGCATGGTATAACTCGACACCATAAAGTGCAAGTTGAGTTGTATGCGGTAATTACACACATTTCAGTGTCTTCTCCAGTAAAATGTTTATTACTTTTGAAAAGTGCATCAAGTAAAAGCATTCGTTTGACGATAGTGCAGATTATGGGACTTTTAAACATTACACTGGACGTATTGAGGTAGTGAAGGTTTGCAGTGTGCGCCAGCCAGAATCACCCCTTGCTGTCAAGGCAGGTCTGGGAAGTCCATCGTGCTGCTCCCTCTGATGATCTCTCTTCTGACATAATGCAGCTAATCAGCCCGTGGACGTCAAGAGTGCTGTCCACACCACCGCCTGTTAGCGTGCTCCTCAGCAGCATCTGGTGACATTAGTTTATAATGAGCCATGTATCTGAACCGTGACCATACGAGACCTCAAAAGAATATGTAGTTATTGCATAACAGTTAACGTGCCTCTCGGTAACCTTGCTAAAGTAGGTGCATAATGAATACTTTGTTGAATACGAGCAATAGATGATAATGTACATATGTGAACCGAGGAAAACTATTATTAAGAAAAACAAGATACTTTATTTCATACTCCACAAGGCGCAAATCACTTCGGATTCTGAATCACGATCCTTACATGTTGAGTGTATAACGTCAACATTTATATAAAGTTAATGTTAGAATTAAAAAAATAGTTTGCAGGCATTTAATTGCGGACAAAAACATTGCCATACTCAATCTTTACACGGTTGACTGATACAGCTCATCAGCAGAATATTAAACCTCGCAAGGTGTCACGAATGCCAAATGGTTGTCGTCGGTCATCTCAACTTTTCGTATTTTAATCGTGAAGCCGACTCGATTGTTACACTCGCATTGGAGGTACTGCTCAGCCGCTCGCACGGTGTGCTGGTCTCTGCCCTCTCCAGCCTGGCAGTACCCACCCGGTTAGTCGCTACCGCTGCCCATGACCTGCCACTCACCCCGTCCCCGGGTTTGGTGCAGGTCAGCAGTGGGCCTCCGGGAGCCGTGACGTCCCGCCATGTCGATGCCGGCGACGCGCGTAAAAATCGGCCACTTTAAGTGCTAAATGTCAGCACTCAGCCGTGCAGCCTCTCTGCGCTGCTGCCGCTCAGTTTGGCGCGAAAGGTGCTCTGGGATGGTGCCGAGTCCCTACCCTTTTTATTTATGGATTCTTTCTGGTTGGGACTTGAGAGTTGGGGTGGTTGGGGTAAGATAAGAGCATTGTTTGTGGGAAGGGAATTGATTTTTGTCGTATTTTTTTAAGTATTGAACATTTTTTATATATATACACAAAGAACCGTCATGCATGTGCAAATGCAACTTGCTAAATTGTATGTGCCGAAACCAAAGTCGCAGTGAATGTACCTTGACTGAGGCTTTATTAGCTTGCATGTTTTGTTGGATTAGACGTGCTGCCCATATGCACTGGCTGCTCATTCTTGCAAGAGCGATTGTTTCCATCGATATTCTCAAATGTATAGACGCTAACCACTTGGGTTAGAAGAGCGCTTCAAAAATTGTTGACCATGCCGCAGTGAATCACTTTGCGAGATAAAACTGGACTTGATTGAAGGTTGCGAACGTGGCTATTTTAGACATGCAAATTAATTTTTCATGTTGAATTCATTTTTTTTGTTGCGTAGATCTTTACAATGGAAGGCGATGATTCGCCGTGGATTTATAATAGAGCGCTGGGTTTATGTGCCTGTAGTGTGTTCACAGCTTGTAGCGTAATGGATACGCGATACACACAGAGCGGAGTGTGATTGTGAACTGCCCGAGGCCACAGTGCCACGGTGAGCCCCGGACCAGCTGCCACCCGCTGCTCCCCCCTCCTCCAACCACCCACCCAGCGCTGCCGCCGCTAAAAACTGGGCCCCAGCGGCCCCAAAGCACAATCTCTCAGCCATGCTTGAGCCTTCGGGCGGCAGCAATCGTTCAATCCCTTACAGGCCAGCGACCTTTAACCAAACCACCGTTAATAATAGCACCGAAGCACCAAAAATGGTACACAAACGTGCAGATGACACCTTTTTATATGTATAGTGTACAGTACGTGTACATTCGTGCTGCATGTCATTTTTATTTTTTTATATGATCCTATTTTTGCAATGCATCTGATAAAGATGGCTTAAGTTGGTTTGACACCAAACTTCAGTCATCTTTCGGAGATTAAATGTTTATTGTATTCATGAAATAACAATAAATAATTGTTATTTTGTAAAGGTTACTTAAGTTGGCATGCGACACAAAAAAAGGCGTTAAACTGCACATTGTTCACAGTTTTGTTGAAAGTATATATTTTTTTTTAATATTGATGATTTATTTTCATATTTAAATACCATTTTTAACCTGCTTGCTGTATATTTGATAGTAAAAATGTGTCACTGGCGTGTGTTAACCTGTAAAGGGTTAAAATAAGCTATTCGGACAGGGCCAGGTTAGATTACATCCCTGGAAGCAAAGGCAACGCGTTGCAGCAGCAGCAGCAGCAGCGGCAGTGGTGGTGGTTTTATAATCTGCACGAGCATTGCCCGGGCAGTGTCACCGCGCTTCCCGCCGCCTCCTGTCATTTCATACAGCAGGCGGAGGGTGTAAGAGAAAACTGGCTTGTTCATTTCCGCCATAGGTTCAGAGAGTGTGCGTGTTACACTGCAGTTATTGGCATCTGTGATGATATCGGATTGATCACGGAGACCTTGATACCGCCCATCAGATTGCGCCTGACAGGAACACAGCAGTATTAGATTTCACCTGATCGGGTGTGGAACGTTTACTAATTATCCGTCGGCAAAACAAAATATATTTTGAAAAAATATTAATTTCTCTGGCAATACGTTTTAGTTTTATCGAACGATAGGTATACTTTTTAGTGGCTTTAATTATTTTGTGTAATTCACATTTAAATATGATATACTTCTGTTTTTTTATTGACGTGTATATACTTTAGGAGGCCATTTGGCGAATATTTGCATTTATATAAAAACAATTATATCTGCACGTTGTTACATTTCGTAGAAATGTTTCAAATTGCGGCTCAGTGTTTTAGTATTTCACCATAAAATTCCAGCACAAATGGGTAAAATATCCATATGGCTAAATTTTATCCGTGACGATCAGGCGTGCTTTGCAGCTGCTTTAACGTTAATTAACAACAAATACAGGGGGAGCCCTCGACTCTTAGCTCAGCGGTGTCGCGCGGCTGGAGGTTTGAGATGCGCAAGCAGGCTAGGAGCTCGCGTTCCCCGCGGGCACAGTTCACCCGTGCGTGTTCCACGCCGTGAACGAAGAGGGGAGGAGATTTGTGTGTGGGGGGAGAGCGTGTGTGGAGGGCTGGCATGCCTCTGGATAAAACTACATCGTCGTCGGTTAGATACTTAAAATGTGCAGTGCAGAACAGCCGTGGACGATGCAACATTTTAAACAAAAAGCGATATTGTGGACCTTGCATTCACACGATCACCAATTTTAATTATAACCTGTTCCTGAAAACATGCCAGATGCAGTAAGGGTACATTAACACGGGGCCATTTTTTGTCATGAAGATTTTTAAGTAAAACTGTTGCTTTTTAAAAAATGACTCTCGAGGAAATGATGCTGTCATATGTTAGCTACAATAAGCAAAACCGCCGCATTGAACATTTGCGCAAGTTGTAAAACTTTAGGTGTATATATTTTACCTCTTTGCTATGTCACATCGATTGTAACAAAGTTAATTTCAGAGTTTTTTTCCAAAGCGTTATGCTGCGGCAATCTTGGTCGATCAGTGTAACCCCACGCAACGCTCACGTTTGAGTCCAAAAACGCGCGCCTATTTGCATGCTCACCCGCCCGCACACGCACCCACTCCAGTTCAAAGTCCTCAAAAAATGCAGTGCCTGGGCACAGTTGCTGGCAGGCTTTACCGTAATGAGTTCTCGAGTCAGGCGTGAAGCGGTTCACATGTGAATGTAACCGTTACGAGAACGGCACCCAGCGCAAAAATTGCCCCAGAACTCACGCCCGAGGTGGATGACACTGGGAGAACAGCCCCTGCCTCTCCCCCACCCCCTACCCTCTCTGGCCTTGGCCTCGGCCTCAGGTGGGAGGTAAGGGTGGAGGGGGGGTGGCTGTGGCGTGAGGGTACGGGTAGCCGCCCTGAGGGGGTGGTTGGAGAGTCGCCTGCCATTCAAGGCAGCAGGGCCGGTCTCTCAGCCACACGGCATGTGCGATAATGACGGTTTAATTAACACCTCAGCTTTCCTTCCCCCTTCGTCTGAGCTCATTAGTGCACTGGAAAAAAAAAATCCCTCCCTCCTAGAATATGGTACTCGCAGGCTGTCTGAGGTTAATGAATAGCCAAACTGCCTGATTTTTATTATTTCTTTCAGAAATGGTAATTTTTACAACACCAAAAATATCATTTGTTGTCCTTTTACAATTTAAACAAGGGTATGTAAGTAATTCCAAAAAAACATTTTTTGGGTAAAAAAAAAACTTGCAAAATATCTGTCAATTTGAAGTTTTGTAAACTTAATATATCTGCTGAACATTTCAAGTCCTACCCGGACATGAAATGCTGTGATAGATGTTACAATGCCTTGTGAAAAGAGCTCGATGCGTATAAGCAAAATTACATTAAACTCCTGCTGAGATGAAGATTGACTGTTAATTTTAATGTCATCCATTTTCCTGTGTTGATTCCCAAAATACCCAGTTTTTACTCTCAGGGTTTCAATGTGATGGAAGTTAACATTATTAGTTTGGAACAATTACATTTCAGTCGTGATATATCCATGTGGGGGGCTGTACATACACTGATGCATTTAGTTAAATGTACATATATTTTACTTAGAAAATGTACCGTGCAAAAATCGAGTTTTGAGTTAGTGAGTAGTGGATTGGAAGTAGATATAGCGGAGGGAGGTTTTTTTGGGGATTGGCACGTTGAGACTCGTACCCGAGTCATTTTCTCATTCTTGTCTGGGCATGCCAACGAAGAGTAAAAAAAATATGCTATTGGAGATGGATCATCAGGAGGTGTCCTTTTTTGTATCTGGCAAATAGCATTGGGTATAACTTTATTTCTGAATGTATCGAATAAAAGTGGAGATAGGTGAAAAAGAAATGTGGTATTTAATTTTAGAATTCATTGTTGAAAACCAGGTTTCTGAGGTTAGCAGTTTCATTAATATCATTTTTTATTTCTGCATAGTTTGTGCAAGGTGTTACGAAAGTCGTGTTCTTTTGCAGCACTGTGTATATCGGCAGCATTTGCCTCCGGTGTAATTTCGAACGTCTTCTACGTGCGTGTGAAGTCTCAATGCAGTCCTTGGGCTGGTGCACCACTGAAACAGCAGGCTGAACAGGAATGCAGTGTCGCGAGAGGCTGTAGTTTGCATGTCTTCACTGCAGGTTGTCATCGATGCCTTCCGACTGATAAATCCCAACATGATGGTGCTCGGACATGAACCACGCCAGACCACTTCCAACCTAGGCCACCTCAACAAGCCCTCGATCCAGGTACATCGACAAGCCCTCTCCCTCACACGCGTCTTTTTGAACCCCATTTGAATTGCTTTCGTCGGATGCCATGACGCGGCGCTGATTGCTTCCTTTCTGTTTTTCCTTTATAAGTTACGTTGTTTTACGCACGTTGATTTCACTTATGGTCTAATATATTATATATATTTTTTGCAGGCATTGATTCATGGGCTCAACCGGCACTACTACTCAATATCCATCAACTACAGGAAAAACGAGCTGGAGCAGAAGGCAAGAGCGTATTAATACATCGGAAGATGGTGGTGTGCAGTGTCTTAATCGTAACCAAAGCGTTATGCTAACGGTGGTTGCCCTATCCCGTAATCGGCACCTTTGAGGAAGTTTAAGCCACCCCCTCTGGCAAACCATGAGTGGCTAAAGAGATTGAGATTTAGTGGAGCTCAAATGAACACACATCTGTTATCACTTTTCTTTATTTCGAAAGTTAAATACATATACAATCGATCCATTATTTCATAACATTTGAAAGGGTTACTTAAATTTTCTTGTAAATATATGTTAAAGAAATGTTAATAGTTTGCAATAATCTAGGGAATAAAAGTAAAACATTTTACCAAAGAGAATTATTATTAATTTTCATAGTTTAATTTTCATGATTTGCTTTTAATCCTAAACTTATTGCACTATTTATAAATGCTAAGCTAATTGATTTTAAGTATCAATACCATCATCAGTTATTGCGACTCTTGATGAATTGCAATATAAATTGAGAATACACACATTTGGGCCCTGCGCTTCTCATTTACTCAATTATTCACTTTCTAGCCAGTGCTCCCTTACATAAGTGTTTGACTGACAGAACCTTTTAAAAAAATGCCTAAATACTGTAATTAATAAGCTCTCACCAGCTTCCCATTATTAAGCAAAGCATCAAAGCACTGTATCAATATTATGTTTTTTTTCCCACTACCAAAAGTGTTGATTGCTTCAGTATTGAGCGACACACTCGACAATAATGCAGGAACTAAATATTCTCACGAAGATGTTTTTTTTCCGGCTAGTACATACCGTGGATGTATGCATGTCTACGCGTTTGCCGTATCTGCCTGTACGTGCGTGTGTCTTCGTGCGAGACGTCGTGATGTTAGCACACTGCGGCGGGGTTGATTCATAGCTACCTAGGTTCCCTTGCCGAGCGTCTAGACCACGAGTGGGTAATCCGTAACTGAACCAGGCCCAATCCTCCCTGAGGTCAACAGAAGCCAAAGTAATTACTGTACCTAGTGTGGTGGCGTTAGCAACAGCCCTGGGGAGGCTCGGGCAGCTGAGCGTGGGGCTGGCCATGCTATCCCATTGTCCTCGGCAGGTGCTCTTCAACAAGAGCAAAATGGAAGCGCTTTACGCGCGTACGTGGCGTCGGCGGTTCGCGTACTGCTTTATGAACCCGGTGACTTGAGTTCAATTCCCAGCCCCAGATAAAATCTTTGGCAAGTGGTTCTTGAACCTGATCAGGGCTTCCCCGAGGTTAAGTCAGCCTTAAAAATTACTAGCTGCACATTCTATGATTATCAATACGAGCTAAACAGAGGTGTCCTGGCGCAGCGTTGATCACACCTCTTAGTAGGTGCTCACCAATAGCGCTTGCGCGAATAGTCTATATGAGACTGTGACTGATCTTTGCCTTTGTATGCAGATGCTGCTGAACCTACATAAGAAGAGCTGGATGGATGGCCTTTCCCTGCACGAGTACAACGAGCACTGCAAGCTCAACGAGAGCACCGTCAAAGAGATGTTGGATCTGGCCAAGTGCTACAATAAGGTGGTGGCCGGGTTGCTCACGCAGAACTCCTCAAAGTGGCTCATAGCGATTGCAACTTTTTCATCTGTATATATGAAAGGAAAATGTGAAAGTGAAATACAAATGTGTTGCAGGTCTAAGGCGTTCTTTGCGCAGCATTCCTTTATTATTTCAGTCGTTTACTGCCGTACGCACCCTAAAAGTTGTGTGTGTCTGCAGCAAGCGCATGTATGTGTACCTATGGACGCGTGCGTGTGTGTGGAGGGAGCAGTAGTGTAGCGGTTAGCGCGCTGCGCTACGAACCCGGCGACCTGAGTTCGATTCCCGCTCACGGCCAACACCGGTGACGATTATTTGAACCGGTCCTGGGCCTCCCCTAGGTCGACTCAGCCTCAAACGAGTAACTGGTGTGGTGTGTGAACATCGCCACTGGGGAGACAGGCGGCCAGGCGTGGTGCATCCGAGTCCCGGGCGAAGCCGGGTAGTAAAGCTAGTTATATAGATAACTTTACTCTGAGTTAGGTTGCAAGTTCAAATTCTCTCCAGCGTCAATGAAATGAGTACCACGTTGTGGTGAAGCTAACGGTGGTTGCCCTATTGGTAGACTCTCACCCCTGCCATAGCAATGTGGAATTTCCATCACTAGCTTCAGTGCTGTAAACATGACATGAGTACTGCCTCAATGGTCATTTGAGCAACAAGTTACTTTGCTTTTAATATAAATTAGTTGATCTGTACATTTTTGTTTACTTTTAAAGGGTTTGACTGGTGCTAAATGTATACTAATGGCTAACGTTTAATATACCCTTTAGACTCTTCATCTATAAACATTGTATATATATATCAGTGAAGGCCTCATGGCATATCGTGCATTATATAACTGTTATATTCCTGGTTCTTTTGGTAAAGTCACGTAGAAGGGAAATAATAAAAAAATAAAACAATAAAATAAAATTCTCACGACGTTTCGGCCACAACGCAAGCAGCCGTCCTCAGGTGAAGAAACAGAGCTGCCGGACGCTGTCTTTCCGACAGCGTCAATCCCTGCAGTCACGAAAGCTTTAAATCGAAATATATAACTGTTGTTCACTCAATCTCTGTCCACTATATCTCTCTGCTATGAAGAAGGGCTATTGCTCTAAATATCACTTGTGTGTGTATATATGTGTGTATATTCCCTCTTTGGGGGCAGTGCTGTTGACGAATTTATGGAGGTTTTTTTTGGTTATTTGTGCTCGCGCGCCATTTCCAACGCCAACGCAGCACCGCTATATTCTGTTTTAGCAGGAAGGGGATTTGGCGGATATGAAACCTCGTACTCATCACAGTTGTTGCCTTGGTCTTTTCTAGGCTGTTGAAGAGGAAGACAAAATGACTCCAGAGCAGCTGGCTATAAAGAATGTTGGCAAACAGGTAATTTACGTGCATTGTGGGTGCGCACACTTGTTTGGTCAAACGGTGTTTTGTCTTAATGTGGGGTAATTGTGCCTGGTTTCTTTTAGCTACGATACATTTTGATACACATACGTGGACAGAAGATTACTATAAATTACGTCTCTCCTTCGGACTCCCAACTGCAACTCTCGCACGCCACGCGAAAAAAAAAAAAACATGATCTGAAAACCTAATTGTTATGTTTTTTTAAAGCACAACGCAGTGTTGCTACAAAAGTGTGCATTTGATTTGAGATTGCATTCCTATTGATTCGAATAGGTACGCATTTGCTCAAAATGCATCCCATTGGACTGGTTATTATTTACGAAAGGCTTTCAAGCAAAATCCGGAGAAATGCAATTTTTGGTAACGTTAACGGTACGCAGAAGGAATTGCGTACTCTATCGTAGCACCTGCTGTCTGCGTACGCCCACAAGAAGCGAAGTCGCTCTTAATTAAATGTCTCGTTCAAATTGCGAAATTCGTCGACGGCTGCAGACAAGCGTTTGGGTGCTTCGGCATTTGTTGTACCAACGTTCACAGTCCCCACCCCTCGAAGGGAAGACGAGCAAAGTGATGATATATCCAGAGTATCCAACGTCATCTTCAAGTGTTGTGCAGCAGACCTCTCAATATGTGCGAAGAAGCCAATTTTGGATAGTTGACATTTTATGTGTGCAAACTGATGTCGCATACGGTAGATGTCGCATGCGGTAGATGTTGCATGCGGTAGATGTCGGGGTAGACGTCGCATGCGGTAGATGTCGCATGCGGTAGATGTCGCATGCGGTAGATGTCGCATGCGGTAGATGTCGCATGCGGTAGATGTCGCGGTAGACGTCGCATGCGGTAGATGCCGCATACGGTAGTTGTGCATGTCAATTTCTCTGGGACCACCACTTGGAGAGTGGCTTTCGTTGTACAGATTAATAAAGTTAAACATGCTCGGAGTTTTGTTGGTGTATGCCTCCATTGTTCATGATGCAATTGTGTGCGCACGCAAGTGCAGGGTAGGGGGCGGTGTATAAAAGCAACATTTTTTTAAATCCAAGTTGTATATATGAATGAAGGAGTGACACTAATTAATCTGTGTTTTACTTAAACGTCCCTCGTAACACATGTGGACAGCACATAATGGACACCTTGTATTTTTTCACTCCTAATGCATTTTAACTTTTCCTGCGGGGCTTGTCATGTATTAATAAATCCGCTCATTGCTTTGCACTCTGAACGAATTGTGATAACTACGAGCGCAGTTCATTTATTGTTTTAATTGGCATGCTTTCTAACGAAGTGAGTAAAATGTGCTTCTGTTGCCTCTCGCAGGACCCCAAGCGACACCTAGAAGAGCACGTGGACGTGCTGATGTCCTCCAACATCGTGCAGTGCCTTGGGGCCATGCTGGACACTGTTGTCTTCAAGTGACGAGGCTCCTGCTCTTCGAGACAACAATTATTAATTAAATGCCACTGATTAGGAAAAATTACCCAGCCTAGGGTTTCCAGAGAGCACACATCATCACACATCCATTGTGGCCAAACACACTTAATGGACAGAAAGACAAGCTAGAGTTTCCCAAACCGCGTTTGTCGTGCCCCCCCCACCCCCAACCCACCGCAAAGGAGCTTCCTTAGCATGTTTTTGCCATTGTTTTCTATTCAGATGCAAATTAATGTTGTTAAAGCATCACATGGAATCTGATTGGGAAATAAATGTAAACCTTATCATCATTGTGGAGTGTTGGGGGGTGGGGGAATTGACTTTTTGGAGAACATGTGACTCAAGTGCTTTTGCCTGTCGGTTCTGTCCTCGTATTTAAATGCACCTGGGTCACTTCTCAACACGGTGGCAGCGTGTTAAACTAGGGAGGCTCGATGTGCTTGTCAAAGTGGACTGGTGTTTGTATCTCTTACTGCTATGTACGATGGCTAAAGCCATGCGGCAAGGGCATGACGATCCATATGTATAATAAAATAACGGTCACTTTCCTGAAAAACACAAAAGTATAAGCTTGCCTTTCAAAGACGTTCAGTTTTTGCCACCAAATTTGAATTTTATTTCCCCTACGCCCCCCCCATCTTACTGGCTGTGGGTTTTATGCAGCATGCATACGGCGCATAGTGAGAGTTGCGAGGACATGTTTGATCAAGGTGTGATGGAGCAATAGAAAGGTTGAGACGTCCTCTCTCTGCGGCGTTGGAGTCCCCTTGTGTCTCAACCTATGTAAAGGTGAATGCTGTTGAAAATCTTTTTGAATTTTAAGGTTATTAAAGTATCCGTAATACCCACGACGTATATTTACACAAAAATAAGCAACAAGCCTTATAGTTTACACTCGAAACAATTTTCTCGTTCCATCGACGAGTCTGTCGCTTCATTTCTTTTGTGGCCGTTTTACTTTTGATCGTTTTAACATCTTGACGTTTTAACGCAGTTTGTGTACACGCTGCGAAAAGGTGGCGTTCCATATAAAAAATAAAAACAAAAGCAAGACAAAAGAAACAATCTCATCAAAGTTTGCGCATCTCCCATGGCTTCCCCCCCCCCCCACACACGCCTCGCTTCACCGTCTATTATGCGTCGTGTTAAATTGCACGCACCTAATGCCCGTAACGCCTGCTTTGGTTATTAGCCCTATGCGTCTTGGGCCCCGTGACCCACACGCCGGGGCCCATAATGAGCTGATGAATCCCACGACCACCTTCCCCTCCTGTCCACCCATGCGTCGCCTTCACCACCACCACCACCACGACGCACCGCGCATACACACCACGAAAATGCCCCCCTTGTACGCTCGTAGGCGCGCAAAGGGGAACATTGGTCGCGGCTCAGGTACCCGCCGCCGCGCAGGGGGTTTTGATGTTACTCGTTGTGAAAGCTATTACGCGGCCGGATTATTAGTCCCTCCTAATGATGCTGCCGGCGCGGGGCGAGCTGTCAGAGCCGGGCTGAATCACGAGCTCTCTCAGACAGAAAAATAATTGGCCGTTGCCTCCCCTGCCGGGCGCGGTGCCTCCGTAGGGAATAGCTCCGGCCGCTGCCGCCGTCCCGGCGCGCTAGGATTTGAATGCGAAAGCCGCGGATTTCACGCCCGGTGATGGGTTTTGTTATGAACTTATTTCGTGAGACAGAGAGCAAAAGGGCCATATGTATTAATCAAGGCGGAGGTGTTGCGATTCTCATTTATTTATAAATCCCCGCCTTTGTTTATGCCGCGTTTTTGATTTAGACGATTTCGGAATGTCAACGGCCTTTCCATTATCAATGTGCGGGGTTTTCCACGTGCGGCGAAGGTTGAATCAGACGTTTTGTCTTTCATCTCTGGCGTTAGACTTTTAAAGGCGTTTAAAAGCAACAGGGCTGCATTCGTCGTTGCCCGAAGTCGTCCCGTGAATGAGCCCAGTCCCCGGTTGTGATTGCCAGTGATTAATGCAGACCTAGGTATTCCAATGATCGTACATGATAGAATGTCGTCGGTTGAACGTGGCTTTGGTAGTTTTAACATGTGGTTGTAATCCACATTGGGTTGTAATCTGCAATCGATCTACTCATTATTTTTGCCAACGTGCGTTAGGGTTCCACACGTTTGTTGAGACGACGGCAAAAATATTTTAGCCAATTGTATCGGTTTCCTTTGTTGTGCATATATGCCGAAGGCTTTCCATCGACGTTATAACCTTATTTAGACAAAAGTACACTGGAAGCTTGCAAGTGGAGTGGTGACGCAGTGGTTAGTGCACTGCGTTTTGAATCCGACGAGTTCAATTCTCGCCCATGGCTAGCGTGAACGATGAGTTTTAGACATCCCGAACCCGCAATCGCCAGCCTGCTAAGTATAGTCAAATACCCTCCCCAGTAGACACGTTTTCGGGAGCCTTCATCCAGCAGTGGACTGACAGGGTAATAGCGGATTAGAGAAAAGTGTTCTTTGGCGAGCTTTGATATGGCAGAAACAAGTCGGCTTAACAGGTAACTCTTCTCTAAAAGACGTGCAGTCCACATACCCCCACTACTCACCACTTGTGAGCGCTTGCCTTGGCAGCGAGTCTCGTGAATGCAATGAACTGCAGTCCAACTATAATTCAGTCTGCTGCATCGATCTGCTATCTCTTTTTTTCTCTGAAGTCAGGTAATTGCCCGAAACGACAGCCTGCCCTTTTTTGCTGTTGTAAAGCAGTGATGGGAGGGAGGGGGGGATCGGTGGGTACTGCGTGTCGCCCATTGCTTTATTAACCCGGAGATCTAGGTGCAATGCCTAGCATAGATGGTGAGTTATATCTGAACTGGTTTTGGGTTCTCCTGCTTATGAACGTGATGAAATATGATCACACAATCCTTGTGGCTCCACACAGCGGGGAAGAAATTCATCCAGCAGTGGATTAATAAAAGAGCTGTAGTGTGCAGGGCATGTGAATTATACTCATGTTGTTGAGAAGTTGATGCTATTGACAAATTACAACATTGTCAAGGGCGTCCCTCTTTTGTAGTGCGTGCTGGGTGAGTTCACGACTTAACTCGACGCGAACCAAATGGTTCCGGTTATTCGTGTGGCAAGGAGGTTTCCATTGACAGTCGGATTGTGCCACGGTCAGAATATAGCCGAAAAACTATTCTTGAATCGCCCCGTACGGAGTTTTACCACCTCGTGTACCCAGCTTTCCTCCCACGTGTGCCAAACGCTCATTGTTAGAATTAGACAAAAATCTCAAATGCGAAACCCTCCTGTAGGTTTACCAGTATATTATCCAGTTGCGTTGACAGTGGCGCATGCGAACATTTTTTGCGTGCACATTCAAAACGATTCATGGCAACGGTGTGTGTGGCAACAGTACGTGCGTGCAAGTACTGTCTCCTACTATCAGTGAAGCGAATCGACTGGATGTCTAAACTCAATGTGCCCTTGTTAACATTGCTATTTCCATATGACAAGAAGAAGTTAACCATTGTTTCTCTTCTGTCTACACTGAATACGGGTCGTTGCCCGAAACGTTAACCTATCATGAGCAGGGTACTGTAATGATAAGGCCCTTTGTGGTTGTAGAGTATCGGCAAATCATGTTCCCTCTCCCCTCTTGCCCTGCGCATACACCCCGCTATCCCGTGGGTGTCAGTGCAGTTACACCGCCTGCACACTCGACAGCTAAACCATCAATCTGAAATGTACCTTAAATTTAGCATAACTCAACGCATCTCCACATCCATGCTTTCCTACCTCTGCACTTCATGTAAATACATTTTTATTGTGTTCACTCTTTCTTTAAAGACGTGTCTTGAAAATGCCCACACATGTTTTGCGACGTGTATTCAGTAACTTTTACAAGCGCTATTCCAATCCCTTGAGTTCTTTCACATTCTTGGCCCATGGTTGTGTGCACATCTTGAACAAACAAAACTAATCACAAACTATACAAAAGGACAAGGGTTGACAAGTTTAGGTAGACCTCGGAGGCCTTACCATCACAAACACAAGGTTGACTGAGATTTAACCACCCTATGATCGAAGCATCTTCTACCATCGCGCCTAACACCCTGTGTGCCACGCCCCCCTTCCTGAACCTTCTCGCTGACTTTGGACGCTCGCTCCACCAGCAGACTGCCATTCTCTTCCGTCACCTGATCACACTCCTATTCTCGATTATTCCCGTAGCCACCAGTCCCTTTGTACTGCAAGCTGACACCCCTAACATTACCTCCCGTGGCCACTAGTCCCTTCAAACTGTAGGCTGACTCTCCTGTCATTACCTCCCGTGGCCACTAGCCCATTCACACTGCAGGCTGACTCTCCTGTCATTAATTCCCATGGCCACTAGTCCATTCGCACTGCAGGCTGACTCCCCCGTCATTACCTCCTGTGGCCACTAGTCCATTTGCACTGTAGGCTGACTCCCCTGTCATTACCTCCAATGGCCAATAGTCCATTTGCCCTGTGGGCTGACTCCCCTGTCATTACCTTTCATGGCCACTAGCCCATTCGCACTGCAGACTGACTCCCCTGTCATCTCCTCCCGTGGCCACTAGTCCATTTGCACTGCAGGCTGACTCTCCTGTCATTACCTCCGTGGCAACTAGTCCATTCGCACTGCAGGCTGAATCCCCTGTCATTACCTCCTGTGGATACGAGTAAATTCGCACTTTAGGCTGACTCCCCTGTGATTAATTCCTATGGCCACGAGCTCATTCACACTGTGGGCTGACTCCCCTGTCATTACCTCCCATGGCCACTAGTCCATTTGCACTGCAGGCTGACTCTCCTGTCATTACCTCCGTGGCCACTAGTCCATTCGCACTGCAGGCTGACTCCCCTATTATTAACTCCCGTGGATACTAGTCAATACGCACTGTAGGCTGACTCCCCTGTCATTAATTACCGTGGATACTAGTAAATTCGCACTGTAGGCTGACTCCTCTGTCATTAATTCCCGTGGCCACTAGTCCATTCGCACTACAGGCTGACTATCCTGTCATTACCTCCCGTGGTCACTAGTCTATTCACACTGCAGGCTGACTTCCCCATCATTACCTCCTGTGGCCACTAGTCCATTCACACAGCAGACTGACTCCCCTGTCATTACCTCCCGTGGCCACTAGTCCATTTGCACTGCAGGCTGAATCTCCTGTCATTACCTCCTGTGGCTACTAGTCCATTCACGCTGCAGGCTGACCCCTGTCATTACCTCCCTTGGCCACTAGCCCATTCGCACTGTAGGCTGACTCCCCTGTCATTGCCTCCCGTGGCCACTAGTCCATTCGCACTGCAGGCTGACTCTACTTTCATTACAGTTCACATTCTTTGGTTCTTTCGATAAAATCACATAGATAGAAAAATAATTATAAAAAATAAAGTGAATGAAAGTAAAATAGAATGAAATAACAACAAAAACATTAAAGTAGACTGTAACCTGGTTCTTAATCGGAGTGAGTGTACTGGCAGTTTATAATGTAGAATGTAGCCTGTTTTTTAAGCTGGTAAGCATATTGGCAGTCTATGATGTACACTGTAGCAATGGTCATTAAACTGAGTGAGTGTACTGGCAGTCTATAATGTAGATTGTAGCCTGTTTTTTAAGCTAGTAAGCATATTGGCAGTCTATAATGTAGACTGTAGCCTGGTTCAGTAATTTAAATATAATAAAAAAAAAAAATTATTATTATTACAGTGCAGTACTGTAGTGTTGTTATTATGAACAGATGTCCATTATTGATATGAAAATGAGAGCACACGTTGAGCGTTATCCTGCACTGTAGTGACCTTGAAGTGCAGTGCTGCTACCTAATAAACAATCCTACATTGAACATTTGAACGTATTGGCAGTACACTGGTGGTGCGCGGTCTATAAAAACAAATGTTTCGCAATCAATTTTTTTCCTCGATTCGCAACCCTGGTCAGAAAATCTTGCGGGGTGGTGGTGGTGGTGGTGCGTCAAACTCAGTTCTCATGATGTCGAAGCTGTTTCGGAAGACGAATGTTTATGAGCGACTGAACATGAAGCTTCACAGCCTGATGACAATTGGCTGCTCCGTGGTCCAAAGGCAGATTTAATCGTGCCCTGGACTTGGTGAAACGGTTCCTCGAGTCAACGATCAATAAATAATTCTTTTTTTTAGCACGTCTCAGTAGACTAAGTAAATTTTCGAATCGCGTCAAACTTGGCGACAGGGTCAATTAAAGAATAATACGCAGATTTGCTTACTTAAATTTAGATTTTAGACTGTTTTATGAGGACCGGTGTGTTATGCTGCACCGGTGTACCACCAATACATCAATGTGTCATGTCGGAACATGAATAGCTTGTGACCATCACGCACAATGCGTCCCATCTCGTCACATCTCGGAAGCTGAGCAGAAAGTTGAGCCTGGATCCATCCTTGGATGAGCAACCGCCACGCATAACAGGTTGCTGTCGACCGCGTGGTGGACAGCAGAGGGCAGTGACGGCGAAATCAATTGTTGAACGGTACTTCTATGCCTTCACGCCTTCAACCAGCACGTACTCACCATCGTGGTGAAGTATGGTTAAATAAACCCCCCATGCTGTGCGGGTCGTGGGGGAGGCTCTTAGATTGACAAATAAGAGCGGGTGTGCATTCACAACGTGTAAATGCATTGTCTTATGCATTCATTTGTTTCCAGGGATTAATTTCAACATGGAGCTCCAGAAAATTCTGGGCTGAGCTCCGAAAACTATCTCCGCGGGGTCTGGGGGATGAGTGGGTGGATGGGGGGAGGTGGGACCCTGGAAATATAATATGAGAAATTAATCTGTGGTTGTTTCCACAATGTAAGAACGCCACCACTAAGGGAAGGAATTTTACGGCCAATATGTTCTGCTACGAGGCTGTGTGAATGGTGAAATTGGTGAGTTATTTCTAACGGGATGCAATACGATAAGTAAATGCATTATTAGATGGCGTCAGATGAATTACTACATCATCGAAATATTGCCAAATGTATGTATTGTTGTTATGCCCACTAGTAATCTGTTCATATCTCGTAGAATTTTCCCAGGTCTATTTAAACAAGAAATCAGACAACAAATCTCAACGGGTAGACTGCTGCTCTACTCTGGTTAAGTAAGTAAAGAAATATTGTGCATATTCATATTTTGAAGTTAGGGTTTCCGATATAGATGCCTTTGTTCCCGGAAGTATTTAATTTGAGGTATTAACGTTACGCTTGAAGTGGCACAACAACATGATATCACTCGGCGCATGACGTGTAACGTCGAAAGACGTTGCCACACAATGACGTGATTGGATGGGGCATTGAGGCTTACGTGAGTTGTTTTATCGCCGTCTTTGTCTACTTGTTTTAGGCGACTCGTTGATCAATGTAGTTTTTTTTTTACGTGACGTGGCCTAGCGTCAGCGTGTTCGATGCTTGTCACGGAGGTTCGCAGTTCGAATCCACCGGCCGCCCTGATTATTACCATGGGTGTAATAAGCGTAAAAATACGCGCCGTCTGCTTCATAGTGGACGTTAAAGAGCCCCTGACGTCGTTCGCAAGAGTAGGCCATTGTGCGCAGGCTTAATGGTTCCAAATTTAAAGATTACCCGCAAATTACTGCAATATGAATGTATGAATGTACATAGCAAACCATCACCTCCTACTACAAATGCTTGGCAGGACCTTCCTGGCAACTAAAACGGAGTCATGCGACTCAGTAGTGAGGCTTTCCTGGGTTAGTCCAATTTGAATAGTAATAGGCCAGGATCCTAGTAGCAACACAACTGTACAGTAAAGTCTCGCTAATGTTGCTAGATGCGGTGTGTCGGGTGATGAAATACATGTGTTCGGGTGGCCCACTGAACAGGCGCGGCTTGAATTAATCCCTGAGGACACGGGAAATCTGCGTTAACGACTCTCGTGCTAGGAACCATGCTCCGAACATGGATGAAGACACACCTCGAGGAATAGGAGGAGGCTCACGTGACAGATTGATTACAATTTCACTGACAAACGATCGTCACGCCACTGAGTTCACTGAAATCGGGCAAACATCCACATTTACGGACTCACGGCTCTATGATGTAACAATCTACCTGACAGCATGCACCTTGCACACGAGCTGATGTCTTTCGCACCGTACGTAGCCAACCGTGATAATCGTTTAGAAATGATTTTTCAATCTATAGATTTAAAAGCGCATAGCTCCAGTGGCTTCCAAATGTAGGAAGGAAGAGCGTTCCAGACGGCCGCAGAAGTGCATCTGAAAGCGCGCGACGCGGTGACCGTTTTTGTTCAATGACGGGCGCCACAATTATTATCACTGTAATTAATAGAGATTATCTCTCTACGCTATGGGTGTGTTTAGTTTTTGTCGTATAATTCGTGCTCGAGCACCACTGCCAACGCAGTATCACACAAGATAGAATGGCGCTGAGCTATCGGTGAATTATTATGAGGTGCGTATGCGCTTTTTCAGAGGACCCATGTCCTTTTACACACCTGCACGCAAAGTGTCTTGAACGGATATATAATTGAATTGAATACGCGCGCGTGTGTGTGTGTGTCTGTGTCGAGAAACGCGAATATGACCTTGTCTAAAATTAATTATCCGTATGTATTAGGAAAAAAAACGCGGCTGATGGGGAAAAGTTTCGGCATTAATTGCCCTTTATCAACCTTTGACTTGAAAACTGTCACGTGCGCCTGCCTCCTCGGTAGTGGTGGTGTGTGTGTGTGTGGCTCAGAATAAAGACGCCGCTAATAATCTCCTGACATTAATGAGCTCATTTGCATATGCGAAGGAGGCCAGCTTTAATTAGTTACGGAATTCATCGGCCCAATTAACGGCTGTAACCGATCATTTTGGGAGGATTGCACTCGCGACTTCGCTTCTTGCAGCTCTGCCCCCTGGCTGCTTGCGCTACTGGAAAGGATTTTTCAACACCGCAGCGTCGTGCCGGAAAAAAACCCCACAACAAAAACACACGTGCCAACCGTTCTTCATTCATGTCTATTAGTTCAACGTAAATCAGTCAGATCGATTGACGATCCAGCACACACGTTTACTTAAACACGCCAGTCACTCGCTCACCGTTGGTCAGTCACTTACATAGCGCTCTTCTATCGCTACTACCATGGTGACTTCACCCGTTGCTTCATCCTCCCCCTCCTCCCATGTTGAGAACTCGGTTTAACCTGATTGGCTGTTTTGGCTCGTCCACACAGTTGGTTCAACCACCAAACTGCAGATCACAAAAAATATTTTGGCTGCTTCTTCCCTCGCACTTGTCCACCTTGGAATGCCCTCCCATCGTCTCGTCACCCAAGCTCTTGCGCAATCCAAGAGACGTGTTCAACCTTATCTATTACAACTTTCAAAAGTGATGGTTGCCACCGTTGGCGTTTTGGGGCCTTTGAGATGATGTTTAGTAACCGTGATATTACAACAACAAAAACGAGGTAAGATCCCATTTTGAGACGACTCGCCTCGTTTTCAAAGGAGATCCTCATTCAGCGCGTTCCGGGATTGAAGGCCCCTTGTTTTAATCCACTGCTGGATGATGAAGTCCCCACGCCGTGTCGGTAGTGGGAGGTATTTGATCGCCCTTCAGCACGATGGACAGTGCGGGCTTATGAAGTGGGTTGCGGAGTCGGGCCCCGTTCAGATATCACTTGTCACTGATGTCAGCCATGGCAGGGAATCGAACTCAGGTGGCTATGTTTGTAGAGAAGTGTGACAACCACGGCGCAACGGGCATTCCTGTCGTGTCCTGAAAATAAAATTAGTCGGAATAATTCCAGTATTTGCATTGGGATATTTAGCCAAGTCAAGTGAAATGAGTGAGGGTACTAATGTGTTTAGGTGAATTTGTGATGAAGGTATTCTTTGGGTCTTTCGGTAAGGTCACATAGATAGGTTCTTTGAATGCCTGTAGTCACGAAAACTTGAAGTTGCGATGAAGGTGTTTGTCTGCTCAGCCTCCTGCTATAAGGGGGCACATTATCACCAACGCTCCCTCCCCGATGTCACGTAGCGGCCCTATTTCAACCCATACCGCTAATGGAGAGAAATGTTTAGATGCAGCCGCTTTCCGGATCCACTGCTGGATGACTGCCTCCCTACGCCGCATGAATTATGGGGGTGTTCCTTCTCCATGCTGGTCAGTGCGGGTGAGTAAAGACGATGAGCGTAGATTGTGTAGCATAGAAGACTTTTGTTACACTGCACTCTGCTGACAACGTATACCCTCCCAGCAGCCTACAACACCTGTTTCATGTGTTGCGGTCGCCCATCCATCCAATAACGATTCAGGTTTAGGCCTGCTTAGCTTCCGAGATCTGACCAGATCGAGTGATTTAGTCAAACCAAGATGTGTTATCCGGAACCGCGCGTCTAAGCCCAACAGATGAGCCACCTGACCGCCAACGCGTCCTAAACTACGGGTGCAGGAGTAGCCTCCGTTGCGAGTGTACAATGTTGCCCAGTAAGATGTATTCAGTTATTTTCATAATTGCAATTTATATAGCCGGTTGAGCTGCGGTTTTGCAACGTTGGCACCGCATCGCTTGTGTGCTTACCTTGCGCAAGTGTTTTTTTATTATTATAAATCAATAAAAACACGCGAACGCTTGAGCGTTCTGCACGAGCACGGAGTAACGGCAGCAGCTTTGGGCACGAGCAGAGTGCCGAGATGTTGGCGAACGCGTGGGTCGCCAAAGCCGCGCGGGCTCGACACGTGGAGGTTCAGAGGGTGCGAGAAGTCACGCGCTAACACATTCGCACACTTGCACGCGTTTTTTTTTTTGCGTGTTCAGTTTATTTTTTTATCGACGTAGCTCAAGCTTATGTCTAATTATAATTCTCTTCGGCAAAAAAAAATATATAAAATGACACCTTTCTGGACACACCGTGCATTTTAGAACTGGCGTTGACTGATACGTGTATTTCACTCGTAAGCTATACTCCCTCTCCTCCTCCCCCGTGCAAGCATGACGGTGGGGGCATAGCCCCCTGGACTGACAAACACCCGCGCTCGCATGGAGACATCGAGAGAGGCTCGGCAGTGTTATTTCTGTGCCGGATTAAGCGCGCGGTGATACTGTGGCTTGGTTGTCCATCCCCAACGCTCGCTCGCTCGCTCGCTCCCCATCCGCCAGGGCCGCTTCAGCTTAATTCAAGCACGAAACGGTGTGATGGTAAAACAGAGGAAGAAAAACTGACCGTGAACTGGAATCCACCGTGAGATTTAGACGGTGAAATGCGTCGACGGTCAACACAGTGGTATAGGTTAACGGTGATAAAGGTTCCTAAGAGCCCGTAGCGGAATGTGCAAGCTTTCCGTGGGCTTCGGTGTCACACTCGACGGGAGGCGAGCTACATGGTTCGCCGATGTTGTTTGGAGCGCACATTTGTAAGTGCGCATTGCGAGACTTGGGGCAATTATACAGAACTTTACGATGAGCTTTCCCTATGAGTAAAACCAATCTACCTCGGTGATAGTGTTTTTGTGAACCCAGTTTTGATTTAAAAAAAAATAGTTGTTGGGTTTGTATCTCCTGTGGATATTGTATGCGTAATAGACTCGACTGTGTTTGTGCAAAGTGTGCGCTCTGTAGCCTTTGTAGAACACGATTAGAATCAAGTCGAATATCACAATCTTCCTCCACATGTACAGTATGTATGAACTTCTTTCGCTCAGTGCGTAGCCAAATGTGTTCATCGGAGGTGTGGGGATTAGGTACACAGAGATATTCCAAGTAGCCATATCTGGCCAGAATTCTTTAAGAGCAAAACCACTTTGCGGTTGATTTTTGCAAAACAAACAAGATTATTATTGTTTTTTCCCCAATAGCTGTTCGTACATTTGTGTTTATGCAAAAAAATAAAAAATACACGTTTCAGTGTGTTATTACGCGTGTCTCCACCGACGCCCGGGGTTAGACAATTCAGTTTTAATTAATGTTGTTAGGCTTAAAAAAAAGAGTCAGTTTGTTTAATGCTATATTTCATTCTGACAACCATTTATTGCGAACGACGATTAAAAAAAACAAATCTTCGATCACGCCACCGTGGCCGCACTGCGCGGTTGACTCACGATGAGCTCACCCTCGCAGCATCCACCAAACCTGCACGACCACCCCCCGCCAAGTTCCGGTAACACGAGGCTCCGAGGGTAATGGAGCGAGGTGACAGCTGACCAATGGAGCAGGGCTGTGCTATATGAGTCGCGTGTGTGTACGCGTGCCTGTGTGTGCCTAGCTGTGTGTGTGTGCACGTGTGTGTGTGTTTTCCTCTCTCTCTCTCTGTCTGCCCTCTGTGTGGCTGGAGGGAGAGGCATGAAAGAGCACGGATCGTCCACCCAGTTGCCCAGAGTCGGGCATTTGCCCTCCCCGCTCGCGAGGATGCAGCTGGCACATCAAGCCTACTTCGCTCCCTGTTCATCATCCTCCTCCTCCTCGAGCATGGCGTCGGGTTTTCCCACTTTCTCGACGCGCTTACATCACCAGCCCGGCCTCGAGGTGGAACTTTCTTGGAGGGACGAGCCCGGCTCCTCCCCGAACACAATCACAGTCGACTCGCTCCACAGACTGGGACTCGGCATGAGCGCGCAGGCGGGGGCGTTCCCTTTTGCGGCTCCAAAGGAGGTGGTGGCGGTGGAAGAAGCGCAGCAGCATCATCATCATCAGCAGCAGCAGCAGCATCATCTTCAGCAGCAGCAGCAACAGGGCAGAGTCCCGCTCCTCTTTGGCGATCTCAGCTGCGACACGCGACACACGTTCGAAGACACCGCCGATAGATTCGCCTTGGCTCCGGCTGCCCCTGCGCCAAGCGCGGGGGTCATGTTCCCATACGTGGGGCAGCAGGTGGCGGGGCCGCCCGCCTTCACCATGGGCAGCCCCGGCCGCTACATGGGCCCGCAGTCGGTCCTGTCGGGCGGCCCCTACGGCACCTTCCTGGCGCCTCCACCACCGCCGTCTTCGTCGTCGTCACAGCCCTTCTCCGGGTACACCTACCCGCAGCAGTACCCGCACGGGTACCACCAGGGTGGCTCCTTCTACTCGCTGGGGCCACCGCAAGCGGGGCTGGTGCCGGGCAAGGCGCACGTGTATCTGTGCAACCGCGCGCTGTGGATCAAATTCCACCGCCACCAGACGGAGATGATCATCACCAAGCAGGGCAGGTGAGCGCGCGACAGAGTCGATGTCGAGCCAAGCCGGGGACCGTCTGTCTCCCGCACAGCCCCGTTGCGTTGGTGGTTGGGAGGGGGCTGCAGGCACCCCCCCCCCCCCAAAATGAAAATTTAGCTTCCTCCGACGCAACATTCTTATAGCCAGTTAACAGACAAGCTCGACATCGCAGCCTTTCAATGTATATATACAGGGGGTGAGCGCTAGAGCAATATTCATGAGACAGAAGCCGATCATATATCATCACTAATTCTGTTTTTTGTCTTTAATATTGGTTTAGCTTTGACCGTGTAGTACTTCTCCCCTTTGAGTTTGTGTAATGCCCCCCCTCCCCCTTTAAACAAAGTCACACTACGACAGCATTGCGCCACAATCAGTCTTACGACGTGTACAGAAGCAGCCAATGATCAATTCTAGTCGGGTCTGTTCTGGCCAGCTGCCCGGAGTAATTTTTTGTTGTTTATATATATATGTAATTCAGCATCCGGCACACCGCATCCAATATACATCTCGCTGTGGATGCTATTCCCGTGCCACTTCAAGTCTGCCTAGCGACCCATCGGAAAGTGGTGAACGAAAGTAGTCAACGCGTTCTCGAACCGTGTTTGAGACCACAACGCATGTGCGCGCGTTTGCAGCGATTTGCGGCGCGAGTTCATTACGCGCCTCTCTCGATCCTGCGACGTAACGGTCCCAACCTTAGCATCTACACACGGGCTGATTTCAACGTTGCGGGGAGAGAGGAAGGGTGAGTGTGGAGGGGGGGGGGGGTGGGTTGGTCATCGAGCAGTGGATTGATCATGGCTGATGATTATTATTGTAATCGTATGATTAATATAACGGTGAGTATGGGGCAATAATATCGGGACACCTGCAACGTTGCATGCATCCATACGCACGTGCGCTGTTTATCTACAGCGGGCATGCGAGTGTTACATGTCGGCTGTGCGCGCGTATGTGTGTGTATATTCATACGGTATGTACGATTTTATATATTACGCGTTGTGTGAGTGCAAGATATTCACGAACGAGTTAAGTTGTTCGTGCTTCTTAGTGGAGGAAACCTCTATGTCTATCTGTGTAAGGTAGACATTTATAAACTAATATTATTAAACTCGCCTATCGAATATGATTTTTTTTATATACCATTTCGTGAGACAATGTTAGTATATTAACAGACACGTCGTATTATAACATTAAAAAACAAAATTACATAATGGCTCATCAGCATATCAGCCTTCCGAGCCAGTGTTTTCCAGCAGAATGTTGTTGAAGCTGGGGAAAGAAAAAAGAAACACTAGGGCTGGCTTTGACTTTTGTGGGTCTCATCGGCAGAGGTGTGTCCCGTTTATTTTATCAAAAGAATGAGAAACTGTAAGATTTCGCACCTCCGATTAGCACGGTTGGATACGTACGGTGCGAAAGAAGTTCAACGTATATACATCGTGTGTGTGTGATATTAATAGGCTCATTTGTATCACGCTACTTGCAAAGACTCCCGCTACTTATACCTGCCGCTGACATTCTCTCTTGGTCTCTACTTTAAACAACAACAACAAAAGCCCCCAGCGCTCACCTCGAAGCAAACACTTCACGGTTCGATTCCCGATACGGCGGCGCGGTAAGAATGTGGCGGTGATGACAAAGGGCTCGCCGTTCGGTGTCATGTGGACGTCAAGGGATCGATGCTGTCGTGATTATCAAGAGATGACCACTGCGCGCCTCACAATTGCCTTAGTCTGCCGAGTTTTTATTTTTTTATCCTGATGCCAAATTAATTGTACAAAGTTGGAAGTACTGCCTCCTACTTTAACGCCAGTTACCGGGGTATCCCTTTGCAATTGAGACAATGGACGACATAAAACATCAATTGAATCATGTACTGTACAAAACCTATGCTCTTTGGATGATATTGGTCTGCATAGCTATTAGGCGGATGGTTAAAACATATTTTGATCGTACGTGAAAACACAGCACGGAGGTCCGGGTCTACGCTATTTCATCAATATTCCGCGCATCTCCACTCACTCACCCACACAGACAAATACCCGTATAGCCTGAACAGACTGATGGGGCAAGTGCTGTTAGCGAGCACCTATGAAGGCCGGAACGGTACAGGAGGAGGTGGATGGCCAGCAACCACGCCCGACTGCCTTTGTCTCCCCAGTGACGATGTTTACACACCGCACCGTGTACCTTTTTGAAGCTGAGTCGACCTAGGGGAGGGCCCAGGACCGGTTCAGATAATCGTCACCGGTGTTCGCCGTGAGTGGGAATCGAACCCGTGTCGCAGAGTTCGTAGCGCAGCGCGCTGACCGCGACACTACCGCTCCCCACACACCCACACAGACACACACTCACCGGCACACTCATCCACACACCCACCTGCACGCCTCACACTCACCTGCACTCCTCACCCGGACACTCACCTGCACACTCACCTGCACACCTCACCCACACACTCACCTGCACACTCACCCACACACTCACCTGCACGCCTCACCCACACACTCACCTGCAAACTCACCCACACACTCACCTGCACGCCTCACTCACACACTCACCTGCACACTCACCCACACACTCACCTGCACGCCTCACCCACACACTCACCTGCACGCCTCACCCACACACTCACCTGCACGCCTCACCCACACACTCACCTGCACACTCACCCACACACTCACCTGCACGCCTCACCCACACACTCACCTGCACGCCTCACCCACACACTCACCTGCACACTCACCCACACACTCACCTGCACGCCTCACCCACACACTCACCTGCACGCCTCACACACTCACCTGCACACTCACCCACACATTCACCTGCACACTCACCCACACACCGACCCACACACTCACCCACACACTCACCTGCACACTCACCCACACACTCACCTGCACAATCACCCACACACCGACCCACACACTCACCCACACACTCACCTGCACACTCACCCACACACTCAACTGCACGCCTCACCCACACACTCACCTGCACGCCTCACCCACACACTCACCTGCACACTCACCCACACACTCACCTGCACGCCTCACCCACACACTCACCTGCACACTCACCCACACACTCACCTGCACACTCACCCACACACTCACCTGCACACTCACCCACACACTCACCTGCACACAACAACAACAACCGCCATTCGCCACTAAGTGGCGGTGACGTCACCACGACGACGCTTGTGCCAGGCCATGTGCACCCTGAGGCCACGTGAAGTGTCGAACGCCCGCTGGCAGGAGGTCACGGGGCAGACCCAGGTGCCACGGGTCGACTGACTGAGATGACTGGCTGATGCACCACCTGTGCCCCCTACTGTACCAACCTGCTGTGCTTTAGCCACCCGGCGCTCCGCTCGTTGTTGTGAGCGTCGCTCCTCCGCCCTCCGTTGTTGTTGGAGGGCGACTGCCTCCAACTGCCCAGTAGCGTCCTTCACGAGCCTCCTCCACAGAGGCCGATCTTGACACCGCTGGTACCAGTCATCGGCATGTCCACTCAGCTCCACGTCCTCCTGTACCACATCACTCCATCTCTTCTCTAGCCTGTGCCGCGCCCGTTTAGCCCCCTCGATCCGGCCGAACAAAAGCTGTTTCGGCATGCGGTGGCTGGGCATGCGGGCTACATGACCCAGCCAACGCAGCCTTGCCTGCCGGAGAAGCTCACCGATGGGACCTTGCCCAGATCCTCACACAATCCAGCCTGGTTAAACCCAGGATGAATCGTAGGCAGGCCAGCCTAAATGTTTCTAACCGGCGAAGATGTTCCATTAAGGGGGTCCACGTGTCGCAAGCGTAGAGAAGGGAGGGAATGACCGTGGCTGAGAAGACCTGAAACTTAGTGCGGAGCGACAGACCAGGTAGCTTCCACACAGCGTTACGCAACCGATGAAAAGATATTGCCGCTCGACTGATTCGGAGTGAGACCTCTGCTGTTAAACTGGAGCCGGTCATAAGCACACTGCCCAGGTATGGGAAACTCTCCACTCTCTCCACAATTGCCCCATCACCGATTGGGAGTTGTGGGGGTGGAGTGTACGATGGTACAAAATACCCAGGCAGGTGCTTAGTTTTGGTGGGACTGATGGTAAGGCTCCATCTCTGAGTGGCACGCTCCAGTCTCAGCAGCAGCGTCTCCAACTCCTCCTCTGAATGAGCAGCTATTACCAAATCATCGGCATACATAACGTGGTTGAGCAATAGGGAGCCATCCCTTGACCGCACCCGGGTGTGTGGGTGTGTGTGTGTGTGCACACACACACACTCACCTGCACGCCTCACCCACACACTCACCTGCACGCCTCACCCAGACACTCACCTGTACGCCTCACTCATACACTCACCTGCACACTCACCCACACACTCAACTGCACGCCTCACCCACACACTCACCTGCACCCTCACCCACACACTCACCTGCACACTCACCCACACACTCACCTGCACCCTCACCCACACACTCACCTGCACGCCTCACCCAGACACTCACCTGTACGCCTCACTCATACACTCACCTGCACACTCACCCACACACTCAACTGCACGCCTCACCCACACACTCACCTGCACCCTCACCCACACACTCACCTGCACACTCACCCACACACTCACCTGCACCCTCACCCACACACTCACCTGCACGCCTCACCCAGACACTCACCTGCACGCCTCACTCATACACTCACCTGCACACTCACCCACACACTCACCTGCACGCTCACCCACACACTCACCTGCACCCTCACCCACACACTCACCTGCACACTCACCCACACACTCACCTGCAGGCCTCACCCACACACTCACCTGCACACTCACCTACACACTCACCTGCACACTCAGCCACACACTCGCCTGCACGCCTCACCCACACACTCACCTGCACGCCTCACCCACACGCTCACCTGCACACTCACCCACACACTCACCTGCACCCTCACCCACACACTCACCTGCACACTCACCCACAC